TCTATATTGATTCATCAATGTAAATCCCATAATAGAATTGAAATAGGGTCTACCCAGATCAATGATCAAATGGAACGTGCGGTTATTTTGTTCTTTTAAAAAGGATTTTTTTTATTAAAAAAAAGAAAAAAGAAAAAAAGAAAAAAAAAAGTTTGCTTGCATTTTCAAGATTCTAAAAAAAGAAGAAAATAAAATAAATAAAAGAAAAAAAAATGATAAAAGGTCCCATGGGTTCAGAATTCAGTGTCAGCAGACAGCAAAGCAAGAGGTCGCTATTCAGTGAGACAGAGAGCCTTTGAGGCCCTCCCACGGCCCATGACCACTTCTCACCACCACTTTCACCAATTTAATGGAACACGTGTACGCTCATAAAGGTGTACAAATGGCAAACAGGGGTCTAGTCACACTCCAACATCATACCTTATCGGATCATCATCAATGTCTTCATGCACCAATAATGCAGCTTCCCCAAAAAAAAAAAAAAAAAAAAAAAAAAAAAAAAAAAAGCGATTTCCCAAAAAAAAAAAAAAAAAAAAAAAAAAAAAAAAAAAAAAAAAACTCCAATTATTTGCAATTTGCATCACATTTCTCTCCTACGCTCACCCACCACCTCCATTGGCAGGCAACATTGCTTCAACCACCAAGCCATGCCACGTCTAACATTCCGTTTATTTCACATATTTGAGTTTATAATTTAAATTTTATTATAATAAAAATGTCTAAAAAATAATCATATTTAATTTTTTTATTACAGTAAAAAATTCTAACATAAAGTCACATCTCAACTCGAATTAAAAACTCGAATCAACGAACTAAACAGACATTATATGATCACAAAATTTTTTCCTTTCATGGGTCAAAATGAATATGATGGTGCTTTTGGAGCTTGAGAAAGAAAACACTTGATGCATGTTCTTTTCTCGAATTTGAGTTAAGAACTTGAGAAAAAATACTGTAATAAAAAAGTTGTATTTAATTTTTTTTAAAGAAAATACCGTAGCAAAAAGTTTGAGTTAGTTAAAAGAACATGTCATTGATCACTAAACTCCGTTTATTTCACCGATTCGAGTTTTATTACAGTAAAAAACTCTTAAAAATAATCATATCTAATTTTTTTTTTACAATAAAAAATTCTCATATAAAATTATATCTTAATTTAAATTAAAAACTCACGTCAATAAATTAAGTGAACTTTAAGTCAGACATGAATGGTTGCGGCGCTTAATAAACGTTGACAACAAGAAATCTTAAACGATAAGTTACAAATAAAAAGACGTGATGCTAAACAAAAGCTGACAATCAGATTTTTTGCGACAAGATTGATTGAGAAAAAATGAAAGATAGTGTTGTTATTATTATTTGCATTGTTATATCACAAAGAAAGTTTCTGTAGTTGATTTTGAGTTTCTTGACTTTTAAGATCATTTATAAGCCTACTATTAACTTGTTTATGGTTCGCCAATTATTTAATGAGATGGTATCAATTGTTCGTCAGTTATTTTGATAAGATTCGTAGCAAATTCAAATTAAATAGATAAAAAATAATAATAATTAGGATTACAAGTAGGAATTGATAACAAATTTTGTATTGCTCACTAATTTGGTAATGCCTTATACTATTTTGCTTTTACACTATTCATATAGTTGTCTATTTATAATTGGAGTTTGATATTTGGACAAGTTTTAAGCATTGATATAATGCGGCTTCACAATCTTTGGTGATAGGGGTGTTTATAGATTGGATTACATGAATTATGAGTCAAATTCACAATCCAACTCATAATTTTGGATTAAAAAAACCTCAATTTGAAATCTAAGACTTCTAACCCAATCCAATACAATTCAAAAATAATCGATTCCGCAAGTTGGAACCCGTGAATTGGATTACGCGGATTGGGGGATCTCTTGTAGGCCATTTCTTTTCCCTATTATCATAAAGTTAATTACAAGATGATTAAAGTATTACTTCTAAAACTTAAAATGAATTGGGTTCTATTATTGCAAAAGGAACTGAAATGAAAGAAAAGAAAAAATGAGAAAAATACTTTTTAGAGTATATGAGTTTATATTTTTACCTCTTACTTTTGATTAATATCATTTTTAGTAAGATAACTATATTAGTTAAAAGAATATTAATAAAAAATAAATGATAAAAATCTAAACTCATACAATTTAATGGTAAGTTCAACAATTTTCTAAAAAAAAAAAAAACTAAGCTTGACTTGGCAATTAACTTGTTGGCCGCACAAGTCTCATACATTATATATAAAATATATATATATATATATATATATAGAGACACACTTGAATGTATATAAATATATATATATATAACATAGAATTAAACAAAATAATGTTATATGTATTCTTAAAAAATATATAGAAAATATATAGTATTATATAGTTTGGAATGACTGGATTATGCATTTTGAGAAATATTTAATCTACAATTTAATTTAAAAATTTAAATTAGAAAAATATCAATTTGTTATCAATACGAAATTCTCCCAACCCAATCTAATCCGACGAATTAGATTAGATCAAACAAATTGGTGGATTCGATAAACATCCTAATTTATTGGTACTTGCCAAGTTACTTGTTAAATACTTTTAGTCCGTTGTCTTAATTTTGTGTAGGTGTTAGAGTTATCTCCCTTAAGAAGTTATTTATATTTGTAAGGATATTATAAAACATTCACTATCTTATCAAATTTATTTTTTAATTTAAATATCGAATTCATTTAACTGGGGAATTATTTATTTATTTTTTTAGAAAGGGGATCGGAGAATATTTTACAACTTGAAGTGAATTCACTATTTTTGAAAACTAATTTTTATCTTCTCATAAAAAGTAAAAATTTATTTGGCGATACGAAAAGTTAGATCAAGCCAAGTCTATTGTATGAAAAAAAAACAAAATTTTTTTTTAAAAAAAAAAAAAAAAAAAAAAAAAAAAAAAAGAGCAAATGCTCTGCCTTGAGGTTAGGATATTAAGGAGTCAAATAGAACTCAGAATATCAACCAACAGACCAAAACGCAACATACAACCAGCATCAAAGCCAAAATGCTGCGTTCTACTTAAGGAAGTAAAAGACATGTCTGGTCATTATTTTAATTTCACAAGTTTTACTTGGATCTAGAAGAAATGTCAGATAGATTAATTTTCAGTCTAATATTACACTACTGCATAACCAACTGACACTATTTTATTGATAGGAATTGTGATTTACTGTTGAATTAATGTTTCAACAGTTTAGTTTGTACTCTGAGTCGTTATATGTTTTGCATTTTAAATTCTTAATTCTTAATGTATACATACACATATGACCTTTAAAAAATTAATTTAATAATTAAAAATTATCATTCTTATTAATAGAGTAAAATAGTCTTTCACTAATCACTACTATAAATATTCTCCTTATTTTAAGCAATTTTATTTTTATTTTTTAAAAAGGTTTTGCAGTCAAAGATTTTTGGACAATAGTAATTAGTAATAAGCCTTGATCTCTAACGTTGAGTCAATACTTGCATCTCTAATGTTGAGTCAATAATTAAACTCATCTCTTGTTAGAAAAAGAATATATATAGGTTTGACAATTCAAAGCACTCAATGCTATTGAAGTAGTTTCTTCTAAATTGAATATGTTTGAACAACTCATGTCAAATCAATGTTAATTGGTCTTAGATATGTGTTTGAGTGATGACCCTTGATCTATGGCCTATGAAATTTCGTAGAAAAATTAGCTACAAGTGGCGCAAATAATAGCAAATCCATGCTTCCCCAGCAGCAGAAACTCCCGGCACCAAAGAGGGCTCACATCACAAATTTGTCTTCCATATTAATTGATGGACGAGATGGGCCACATTCCACATGCCCAACCTACCAACATCCCCATATCTTGTTTTGATTAGGAGACTTATCTTAATCACTCATTAACAAAATCCTTAATTTCTAGGTTGGTAAAGGATCACATCAAAGGCAAATCAAAACAAGTTTGTCTTAATTGAGAATCAAAAGTGCAAAAAAATGTATGGCTTAGGAGGCACTTAACCCATTGTTTCTGTTTTTTATTATTATTATTATTTTTCCCTCAATGTTAATTTATGAACAATGTTACGTATCATTAGTTGTAATTATTTGAACTGGTTTTTGACTAATTATTAATTCATATACCAATTACAGAACGACTAATTATGACTCAAGGATTCACACAGTTTAACATAATAATTTATAACAATATACAAATTAAAATGAACATGATAAACTTCCAACACATGAAAAACATCACAATATCATTTAGCATGATGAAATCAGGATAATTCTAAAAGAATCTTAAACTAGAGTATAAAAATTACCTTATCGATAGTGGCCGGATAATTTTAAATCGTCAGAATTTCATTAATTTTCGTTAACTTTACATATATATATATTTTAAAATTCTAATGTGACCTATGAGGCTAGCTAAACTTGCCAATATCAAGTGGTTTTATTATTATGTTTTTAAGGTAAACTCAGTACAAACTTTATTAAAACCTTCAAAGTCAAGTCTTGCACAAGAACTTGTAGGGGAAACTTCGTTTAACTTTACATATGAATATTTTCACTTATGAATGTGGTTTTGTTTTTACCAAGCATAAAATTCTCATTTATCTTATGAAATTGTGTGAGTATTTTCCTGAAGTTAAATCTAATGAAAATTACTTCAACAAAAAAATTTACTTGACGTTTAATTTATGAATTATAATTATAAAATTAAAATTATTTTTAATTTATGTGTATTTTTTATAAAAAAAAATATTATAATAAATTATAAATTATAATTTAAATCAAGATACAAATCTCCTTATAAAATGTCACTTTATTCTCGTTAACTCCCACCTAAGGTTGAAGAGAGAGGAAGAGAGAGAGAGGGGTGGCCATAAATGGAATTTCACAAAGGGTCTCAAAAAGATACAAAAGACCTCGACATGCTTTTGGACAGTGTAGTGGAAATCATGTTGACTCACAGACGACAGTGTATCTGCTTCGACCTCACCATAAACCTGAAATAATACCCACTCTCCCCCCTCTCTCTCTCTCTCTCTTCACTTTTTTTTTTTTTTTTTTGCTTCATCTCTCTGCCTTTTACTTTTCACTTCCCATTCAAAAGGCACCACCACCTACACCTTTCTCTCTCACTCTCCCTCTTCTCTCTTCTTTCTTCTCCATTTTGTATATTCAGTTTGGTTCCCGAGAAAGCGTGGGAAACGATTGAGACCAACAAAAACTCTCTTTCCCCACCGTTTCTTACCTTCCAAACACTAAAGTACGTGCTTCAATGCTCTCTATCTTTGGTTTCTGAAAATGGGTTTTCCTTTTTATGCTTGTTTCTTTCGTGGGTATTTTTTTCTATATTAATTCTTGTTCCTGAAATCTGTGATTCTGTACCAACGTTTATGTTGTCAATTTTGGTCACTGTTGCTTTTTTAATATTGTAACTGTTTGTTTGGTCACTCAGAAAACCCAACGAATTCTAAAAGGATGAGTATATTTTTTTTTCTTCTTTCTTCTTTTTGATAGTTTCTCGGAAGCCAAATGAAAAGGAGCACAAATGTTTTCCATTTTTTCCACTTTTTTCCGTTGAAATTCCCACTCAACTCGAAAAGAGAGAAAATTTAGATGGAATATCAATTCAAGATAGCGTCAATTCGTCTACTATGTAGCTTCTAAAAACTTAAGTTATTTCTTGCTTATGTACACATATACACATAGATATGTAATATGGTACTTATATACGCATGCTTGTATTATTATTACTATTATTGTAGTTTAACACAAAAAGATTAGTACTTTGCTTTGTGTTTAATGTCTTTGGAGTAACGCTTGAATTGGGTTTTATTTATTTTATTTATTTTTAATTTTTTTTGGTAGTCTTGTCAGCAACAAGAAAGAAAAGAAAAGAAAAATGGAGTCTTGGAATTTCGCCTCTGAAGAGCTAGATTGGTCGGACGCGTTTGCGAGAACCAGAAGAGCTCTAATCCAATGCGAAAACGGGTTCATACCCAATAGAGAATCTGCGGAGAGCTTTGAATCCACGGAACTGGGTCTTCCCGAGATGTTCAGAAGGACCATTCAAAGCAGTAATGAGATGTTTTGTGGTGGTGGGGGTGGAGATTTTGGAACCTTGATTTCTCCGAATTCTTCTCTGGTTGAGGAAGAATCTGGGTCCAAGGTTTCGGGGTCTTTGATGGAGTCCAATAATAGCCAGGATTCTTCCTTGATTGCTTTGAAGCTTGGTGGTGGAGAAGGTTCAAAGGAGAGATCACATTCACATTCGCATTCAAATTCACACCACCAGGTTTCTTCATCTATGGCGGCCAAGAGAGCTCGGACAAGGGGCTCTTATTCACAGACACCGTTTTGTCAAGTCCATGGTTGTAATATGGATCTAACGTCCTCAAAGGATTACCACAAAAAGCACAGAGTTTGTGATGTTCACTCCAAGACTGCCAAAGTTATTGTTAATGGCATTGAGCAGAGGTTTTGTCAACAGTGCAGCAGGTTTGCCCTTCATAGTTATTTACTTTTTTTTTGGGGCTTTTATGTGGGATGACTCTTCAGGATTTTAGTTTCTTTGACATTGGTTGTGGTGTATATATATTTTTGTTTGAGAGACAAAATGCTTAAAGATTATGTGGTGTATTTAGCCACCTTCAGTGGAAATATTCTTTATGAGAACCCCAAAATGCACCACTTAAGACTAAAAGGGTGAGAGGAAGTGCATCTTAGGGGCTGTTGATTGGATCCCACCTTTATATGATTCCTCTCTTTTGTTTCTTTCCTCTGTGTTTTGCTGATGATGCTCTACTAAGCTTTGAAATGGTTGGACGGTTATATAAAGCTATTTTCTAATATATCTTTTTAGTTTATTTGCTTATGAGTTGTGCAATTAATGGTTGGGGGTGGTTTTTGTTGGGTTGCATAAAGGTAGCTTCATTTGGCTTTAAACTAAAATTATATTCCTACCGTGTTTAAATGTGATATATTTTTTCTTGTTTTCAGTTCACTAGAGTAGGCTTAAGCCCCAGTGTGTTGCATATTTATAAACTATTTCGTGGTATCTTTTTCTGTGATTAGGTTTCATATGCTTGCTGAATTTGATGATGGCAAGCGCAGCTGTCGAAGACGCCTAGCCGGCCACAATGAGCGTCGAAGGAAGCCTCAGTTAGATGGCCTTTCGGATAAAGCACACAAGTTGTCACATCCATATCATGGTATGAAAATTTTAAAGTTTTAAATCTTCCAGCCACTTTTCTCTTATTTCCAAAATTCGACATTGCATTATATGTTTTGATTTCAAAGCTTGAACTGATTTATTCATCTCTGATCTGATCTCTCTGGTGTGCAACATACTTTCATATTAACCTGCCATGGCAAAAAAAAAAAAAAACAAAAGAAAAAGGGTTACTTTTATGGTCGTGTGGCATAATTAAATTTATGTTGCAAGTTATTCAGGCAAGCATTAATTTATAATTCTATTCCTTAAAATTTCTAAAGAAATGGAAGTGTTAAATCATTTAAAGGAGGAAAGGAAGTGGATTAGATTTTCTAAGATTGGCATATCTAGGACCAATTATGTCACATATATTTTGGCATACTTGAATCAAGTGAGTGGTCCTATGATTAGAAGTTTAGAACTTATTCACAAGGAGAAGATTTGTTTATGATACTCCGTCAATCCGATGCCTTTAGAACTTTCAACAGTGCGAAGTGTTGTATAAAGATATACAATCTTTTTCCCTTTCCTTTTATCAATAATTCTCAACCCCAAACTCAATTCCACAAGGTCAAGGAAACATCTATGAGTGTTTGAAGAAATAACAATACTAACTGCCACTTGTGTGAAATTATAAAGTTTTAAAATATATTCGCGTGTGAAATTATAAAGTTTTAAAATATATACGCTGGGGACTTCCATGTATTCAATGTAAAAGTTAGTGGCCACATCAGCCACCATTAGAGTTCCTTTTCATGTTCTCTAGTCAATATCTTAAGACAGCTTTTGGCATTTTCAAAATGCAAAAGTGTACCGCAGTTTGAAGGTAGCATATGTCATGAACTAAGCATTTTCCTATAGATTATTACATGCCAATTCCACTGGAAATGGCCTGCTCATATAATTCTAGTCTGACAAACAAACATTTTAGAAGTTTTAAGAGAAACACGTAGATGAGTCTGCTTCATTTTCGCTTTTCTCCGATGAGATTGTTCTTTCTGTTACTAAAACTAGTCCACAAAGTTCCATCCATGCACTTCTAAATTCATCTACATGGTGGTCTACGAGCCTTCCTTTTTTTAGTAAATTTGTTTTATCTTTGTTTAGATCTATCCTATTTTTATCTTTGTAAGTGATTGCCTTTCTTCTGACATTATACGAACTTTGGCAGGCAATAGATATATGGGAACTTCTATGCAAAAGAGAACACCCTTTGTATTCTCAGATATACTTCCAGGTGTTGTTCTATCTCCTGATAAATATGAACAAGTTAACCAGTTTGGAGACATCAAATTTGAAGACGAGCCTATTTACAATCCCCAGTTAACCGTACCCATCATGAGTTCACAATTGCTTTCCAAATCCTTCATCCATCCCATTGGCATCGGGAAGCAACACTCTTCTGGAATTCCTACATCAGAAACTCACGACTACTGTTTTCACACGACAGCAGGCATTCAGAAACTATCCGGGGCATCGCAATCAACGTGTGCTCTCTCTCTTCTGTCATCTCAATCACAACACTTGCATTCGACAGGAATTCCTTCTCCCAGCCCCATGATAATGCAAGGTGCTCATCAAACTGTTGGTCACCTTTTGGACAAACCTCTGAGGTTAAGATCCATGGAAAGACATGGAGGAGCAAACGGCTTCTACTCTTGTGCAATGAACCCCGTGGGAGTTGTAGAGCAGTTCGAATCCACGATGTTTTCCGAAGCCAATCCTGCTGTTGACTTTGAAGTTCATGATGCAGATAGAGCTTTTCAAGATTCCCACAATTTGCAGACCAAATATTGTCTTGCACCTGAACATGGATCGACAGTCGACTTGCTTCAATTGTCATCACATCTCCAACGAGTGGAGCACCAGAGAAACTTCATGCAAGTGAAGCAGGAAAATGAGGACTTCTGCTGTTTCCCAACTGCTTAAAGGATAGCAAAGCAAGAGAGGTATGCGGAAAATCTACTTCAAAATATAGGTTCTTTGGCATAGAATTCAGCAAGGATCTAAATAGTCGTATGTACCGAATCCTACTTAAACTATCAAAGGAAAGGTTTTTGAACGGAAACAATGGGGAAAAGAGAAATCAGTGAAATTCCTGGTTTTTCTGTCTCTGCATCTTTGTAATTAGATTTATGTAGTCATGTTGGATTAAATGAGAAATTACTAATGTTGGTGCAGGTTTAAGGGGAGACTGTTTGTGGACTCCTGCATCAGATTTTCTAGCTAACTTCATTTGTGCAATGGATAAAGTGATGTAACTTTAGATACCACTTGTAGTAGTGACATTACTTGATACCACTTGTAGTGACAATACTTTTGCAAAAAGGTTAAAAAAAAAAAGGAAAAAAAAAAATCTATCCAGATTTTGCTGTTCTACATTGATGTGTAGGTTTTATCTCTTTAACTGCCTTTGTTCACTTTATTGGCAAATATTTTTGCCAACCCAAAGATTCCAATTGTTAAATCATGGTACTTTACCATTGGTGAATCAAGGAGTTTAACTAGTTCTCTTACCTATTTAGGAATAATTATTGGGCCAATTTATACCACAAGATAATGTGCAAAAATGATTGGTGACAGGCCAGCCACCAACACTAGCATAACATTACAAATAAAATGGTTTTATTATATGATATAAAGGTCACTATCTGGTAACTGTCTCTTTTTTCAACAAGGATGACTTTTCTTCTTATTTAATATTATTCTAATCAAAAGCATGTTACAGCACGAGTATATCTTAACCAATTTTCCATTTGTCTTATGGCATAATGATTTCTTTTGAATCTTTAATTAGTTCTTTTTTTTCCCAAGTGTCCACTATATTTGAATAAACTATCCAAAAATCCTGGAATTTTGATCAGAATAAGGAAAATTGTTGGTCGTTGGTAATCCCATGAGCCTTGTTCTCTTTCCAATTGAAGCAAAAAGTGTGTTTCGCCAGCTAATCCACTGCTCAAAGCCACCAATAGTGATTATGATCTTAGTGGTGTGTAATTAGTTGAGGATTATTTAACTATTTGAGAGTTAAGACATTAATTACATTAGAAAGCGGCCATCAAATGCCAAAGGAATCGTGCTTATATTACAATTAGAATAAGGATCAGATAACAACTTGATTGTAAAGTATTGAAAGCCTTTGATATTGAAGATATTTGTTGATATATAAATATTAACACAACCATAAAATCATAAAAACTATTATTATGAATTTCTGTCTGCATGTAGGCGCCCAACCTATCTGATGTGAAGTTTGGTGCCATAAGAACGTCACTAATGACGCATTTTGGAGATATATGCATAGTGCTTTCTTAATGAAATTGCATCATAAAATATTACCCTATTCCTTGGCATAAAAAAAAAAAAAAAGAAAAAAAAACGAAAGAAAGAAAGAAAAAAAGATGATTGTCTTGGCATAAGTTAACTGGGAATTTGGTGATATTGGATTAGTTTAGCTGGCATGGCATGCTTATGGCGATCCGCGGATTGTAAAGCTTTGTTTATTCAATAGAATAAAAAGGATAGAAAGGGCATTGACATTTGGAAGAAGGGAAAAGTGAGGAGAGATAGGGAAGAGGAGTAGCGGATGGACTATAAAATTTATGGTTATTAGAAAATATTAGAGGGAATAGATTGGATGAGAGAATCAAAATCTTCCTCAAGACTTCAATTTCCATTAATTTAAGTCGAAAAGACTAGAGGTTGAAAAGAGAAAAGTACAGGATTGTTATGATTTTATACAAACTTATTGTTTATTTTATTCTAAATAATTAAGTGTTATTGTGATCTTTTATTTTATCTTTATTAATTAAATGACAGTAGTTTATTTTTTAATGTAATGACATAAATAATATTTTTTACTAATATTTTTAGTATTTTTCCAAGAGAAATCTCATACAAAGCACAATAAGAAAGGTCCTCCATTCCTCCGTATTTCTTCACCTAAATTAAATACCTTTCTTCTTTCTTATTTTCTTCAGTCATAAATTACCTAAGTCACACATGGTTTAAATACAAAGATAAATATTAATTTATAAGAATGTGAAGCCAACCCACTTAATAAAGAAAAATAGTAGAAAATAGGCCAATATGAAAAACTTAAGAAAGTATATAAGCCAATTTTTAGTTATAGAAATTAATAGGCCATAACTTGTCAAGTTATGGTTCATAACCAGATAAGTTATGAATAAACTTGTCAAGTTATGGTTCATAACTAGATAAGTTATGGACAATTATGGATAATAACTTATCAAGTTATGATTCATAACCAGACTAATTATGGACGAAAACAATAATTTAACCTATTTATTAATTTATATAAACTATTGGCCTATTAATTTTAATTCATCTAAAGTCTTGACCTATTTTCTTTTTTTCTCCCATTAATAAATTGAGCTTTTAATATGGGCCTTAATTAGTCGAGAAATAGAAGAGCTAAAAAAGAGGGAAGACCCGAAGACTTGTAGGAAATCGCCAGTTGGGTTGATCCAACCAAGAAAGGCATCGGATTTTTTGGACATTGCTTGAGCCAAGTTAAGTGAAGACTGACTGGCCAGTGACTGTATTTGCATGTAACCGGGAAAGAATATATATTTTGGATTGATATGCAAGACAAATCGAAAGAAATGGATTGCATACTTGATTAGGCACCAAGAGAAATCAAAGTCAGGCCATGAAAAAACAGAGAAGCTGGCAGAACTTTTGCATTGTACGTGCGAGAGGTTCAAACTAATTTGTCTCATTAACCAAATATAATACAGAATGAAAATAGTTAATTCGATATTGAAATTAGTTAGTGGAATTCCTAGTTCCCCAACTAGAACTCACAATGTCACCTTGCAAGTACATATCCTACAACTGAACAAACTGAGTTGACTCTGATTCTTTGGCAGTTATAGCCTTCTCTGTATATTAAGGCTGCTACATTTCCTTTTTTGAAAGGTAATTAAATTGCATTCTAAATCAAAGGAATACACGCACTAATATTGACTCAAATGATCTTGTGGAACCAGGAAACTTAATCCCGACCATTGACCGGTTCCACCAGTAAATTCTAATAAAATGTGCGTGTGTATCAAATGTGCAATGGATTCCAACAATAGAAAATCAAAAACTGAAAGAGCACACTAACAATCAACCACACATATGGCTCTTTTAACAATAACTCTACAATCAATGGAGAGCTCCGATCGATCAAAACTAAAAGAGCTAAACCCCAAAGGTCATTCCCAATACTGCAAAAAAGCAATCCTCGATTATGTAACACACAATCTAAACCGGAAGGTGGGAAAATATAATTAAAAAAATTAATACAAGGATCCCCGCCTCAAAACACAATCCAAAAATTCATGTTTTTTTAGTTGTTTAGCGTTAAAATTTCAGACAATTAATACTGTTGTGATGCACAGATAAAACCTGAAAATATATGCACAAAAGTTGAGTTACTTTGTTGGTAACCTTAAATCTGAAGGTCACCTCATGGGTGATTGGGTTAGGGGGCATATTGGGCATATAAATATAGTGCTTGAACCCTTGACGTCTGTTTCAAAGAGTTCATATTCAAATATGTCATTTTTTTTTTTTTGGAAAAAAGTTAAAGCTTAATTTACACATCAAAATAGTACAAATTCACAAATGGTAGTAACGGGCATAATTTGCACTAGCCAGTGACATGTAACTGTTCCAAGTCACAAGCTCATTTGGGCTAGTTTCTAGCCCAACAAACCTCAGGCCCCTTCTTTCAATGTTCTCTTTCTCTCAGAAAGTGTTCGACCTTCTATACAATATATTCTGTTTCTTCTTTTCTCTAGAAAAATATATTTTTTTAACAAAAAGAAAGGAAACTATCAAACAACAGACGACACAGTACACACATATACACAAAACATATCTGTGTATGTATAGGTTAAGTTGTAGTTACTACATATTGATATCATATATAACCATTTAAATGGAATAAAAGTTAATCCGATAATTAAAAGAGATTACGAGGCAAAAGGAGAAAATCCAAATTTTGTTTCAGAACACCTTGATTTGTTATATTCCTCAACTCTAATGTTATACATCCACATGTGAGCAGTGGTGAAGCCATAAATTTTTCCTCAGTGGGGTTTACTATGAAACACACACACACACACACACACACACACATATATATATATATATGTGGGGTATAGTTAGAATTCTTTATTACTAAGTAGAACATGTATAATTTTTCGTTAAGTACAGTTATATCTTTTTAATTTATTAGGAGCAATGAGATCATTTGAATAACTTACGTACATTCAGTAAAAAAAAAAAATCAAAATTTAGCAAATATTCCATCGAGATCAATGTGGCTCCACCACTGCATATGAGGGACTACAACCAAACCATGTTTGTATGGACGAACGACATTGCACGTATCTGTGATGTCTCAAGTGTCTGACATTTCTTGGAGTTGAATATAACATATTTAGTGAAATTCGGAAAATATAATAAAATAAAAGTTAATACAAGGTTCTGATAGCATTAACAGATAGATCTAATCACTGCCAAAGCTTAGTTCTTAAAGTCTCAAACTCATGTCAAGCGTAAGGTCAGTGAGAAGCAAACACATAATGTTCAACATAGCTAGAAACAGACTTCAAATTAAGAGCCGACCTACAATATTATGAGCTCAGATTGGTCTCTAATTATATGTCCGATATGAACATGCATGGAATTTTTGGGCAAATTACATGGACCAAGTAGTATCCAACTTCATTCTCGCAAAAGCTGAGCCTGAAAGGATCAATATTAATCTTGACGTCAAAAACCAAATCTTAGCATCAAAAGAAAAATTAATTAGTAAAAAAAATAAATAAATAATAGTAGAAAGAGAATTATTTTTCATACCTTTTTGTTGCCTCCCGGAACAGATGCAGCTGGAGGATTTGGAATATACCTTGCCCACTGTATTTTTGCTGGCTAGTTAGACTTTGGTTTATCATAAAAATGAGAAGCTTATTGTATTTTGTTTATTTTTATATTTAAGACGAGAATCTAGTAAATTAAATATAACAAATGCTAGCTAATAAAACTTGAATTAAAAGAAGTAGTACGCATATATATACTTACGTTTTTAGCTGCAGCGCTAAAGGCTTCTCTATGAGGAATTTCAGGATTGGCTGCTTTGATGCGCTGTATCTCCTCTCTAAATAGATGTCAAATTAATTAGGCATGCAAGAATAAGTACATTAATTGTGTTTCTTTGACAAAAATGATCCTATATCAACCGATAGTATGTAACAAAATGTACAATTAATGGGTTAAAAAAAGTATACCTTTTGCTTTTCATTTTTCCTTTTTTTTTTAATATTGATAAAGGAGAAAAAATTGACAAGCAGTCTATAGGTCCTCTAGGACTATATGAATATATCACCAATATGATCTTATACTATCTCGTTATAAAGTATATTACCTATATAACAAAACATACTTGATTACATATTATTTTAGATCTAATCGTGTGTGAGTGTAATACACAAGCTGCTGGTGAAAAGGAATATGGGATCTTAGAAATATGTATATATTTTTTCCTTACTTCATGAATCGATTGTAGGCAGATGGTAGTCTGTGCTTCTTCTCAGGCGCTACAAAACAAAAGATTGTTTTGAGACTGTATAGTCAGTATTTATTGCATATATATGTATGTGCATAATGTATATGTACATACAAACATACATACATATATATATATATATATATATATATATATTATCCGTCTTACGCTTTAGGACGAAGGGTGCTTTGGGAGAAATTGGCTCGCTAGATATACTTGAGGAGCTGGAAGATGATGATGAGTAATGGCCCTTTCTGAACTCATTGCAAAATCCCTGCATCACATAATTCATATTTGAAGTTTACAAACACAAATATTAATACCCAATATGGTCATTCCCATGTATGTAGATGACTAAAAAGAAAATAGAAGCAAAGTAATCAAACAGATCACACAATTTCTGCATGCATAAAATGTGTGCGGATAACATATATTTATATATATATATATATATATATATTATATAGTACTTGATACTCATATGTTTGTGTAGGTACGTATAACTTGCTAGCTAGATAGGGCGGTAATATTATTGTTGAGTTTGGTGATGATGATCAAACAAAGTACTAGAGAAATGAGTTCATAACTAACCGGAAGACTCAAATTAGGGTGATCAAGGAATTGATGAGCAGGTTGGAGAGGAGGTCTGGTGCTAAGAAAGGACAGGTTACTGCAGTGACCGCATTTCACCGTCACTGTGTCCAGCAGTCGCTTGTATGGAAGCGCAACCTGCACAAAATTCATATACACAATACACACACACATACATATATATATATACACACGGACACAGTATCAAAACCAAGGAGAAGATTATATGTATTATGAGAACTGAAATAATATTTATGATAATGTTGTTAGTTCACATAATTATACCGTTAATAAACCAAAATATCATGATGATCGATCGAGCCTATGTAACAATAGATGCATATATAAGCTAGCCATACAATCATGTTATTGATCTCGAAGTACTACTACCTCGCTAGTTAGACCAAGTTCAAAAAAAAAAGTACAAGAGAGAGTGAAAGATGTATTGAACATGTATATGTATATTCTATGATCATGTTGTACTTTTACCGCGAGAACGGTGCTGCAGAAGTTGCATCGGACGTAGCAGAGGTGATCCGTCGACGGCGGAACAAAGTCCACGGCGACTTTCTCTTCTAGGTTCATGGTTATAGAAAGCAAGAGATGAAAAAGAAGAAGAGATGGTATGGAGAGGTGTGGGCGTTTTGTGATCCTATATAGCTATAAGGGAGAGAGTCGTGTTATGTTAGGGTTTGCTGTATAAGAATAAAAGGAGGCTGAGTAGAGGGATAATATATAGATATATATATATATATATATATTAGAGTGTTTAGTACTTTTGAAGAAGTAGAGTCAAAAAGAAAATATAGGGGTTACTATACTAGTCATTGTCCCACTGAACTATTTTAGCTGTATTTTGCAGACCCAGTTTTAAGTACGGGCTAGCACAGTAGTCTCTCTAGCTTTTTAGGACTCATAATTTCTTATTTAAAACTAAGATCTCACCCATCTTCTAGTGTGAACGTTATTACCCAAAAAAAAAAAAAAAAAAAAAAAAACTATTAGAGAGAGAGAGAGATTATTCTCTAGTTGTTTTGTGGACTTCAAGTACTTAAGCAAAATCACTATCAAACCACAGCTGCATATGCATGTCTTGTGTCAAAACAAGATAAATATGGAAGTACATGCAACAAAATGAAAACGTATTGCCAGTAGATGCTCATGACAGAACGTTGTGTTCAAACTTGTACAAAATTCATATGTTAGCAATGATTAATTAATGAAAGCAGAAATTTAGTATAGAAAAGTAATGCACTCATTTTTATTGTTTATCATGATGCGGTGCAAAGTCTTAGTCGGTGATTATACACAAAATTAATTCTTCAGGGGCCTGTCAAACTCAGCTAAATTAATCACATTAATGGATATGAAGCTTAACGTTCTAATTAAATTAAGGGGTCAAAAAAATACTTATCACTGGATAAGCATACATGGGTCCACAGTATTATAAAGTTAATTAAGAAGAAAATTCTAAATAGAACTCCTATAGCTATAGACTATAGCTATAACCTAGGTTCCAAGAAGTTTGCTTAATTAATTAATCATCATGTTTATACAATTTCGTTAGAATGGGTCCAACACACAATCTAAAAGCGTTTTCTCTTTTTTTTTTTTTTTTTCCTTTTTTTTGAAGGGGAAAATGAATATTCACTAAAGCTCGTCAGCTAAATCAGTTGTAATGTAAAAGCGTTTTCCGGTGCTAGTATTTTCAATAATTACGACTTTATAGGTGCGAGATGGTAATATTGGAAAGCTTCACGGCAAGTACTATATAAACATAAACTTGACTCTTGGTTCGTAATTCATTGCTTGTGCTAAGATAATTAAAGTAAATACTTTAATAACTCAACTATCTAATCTCAACATTAATTTATGTATATTTACAGACATATCTACCAAAGTTGCAGGAAATAATTATAAACACCCTGGTCATGTCATGAACACAAGGAAATAGCTTTACTGTGAGTACTCTGCGTTAACGAGAAGTTGATGAAAGTCTTTGTAAATTTCATATATAATTGAGTACTTCTCATTCATAGTCAACTAATTAATGTGTTCATTTGAAGGGGAAAAACAAGAATTTAATGATGATGTGTGTGTGTGTGTGTGTATAAATAAGAAACACTAGACGTCTTCTCATACACAAAGACTAATAGCATGATCTTCATATATCTGTTAATAGACGACTTCCTTTGCATACAAAAGTACTTATATAATATTAGTTTTTCCAACGTGACCCATTATATATATATATATATATATATATATATTATGCTACATATAATTACATGCACACACTTGCACGTGTAAGTATATACGTGATCATGAATTATCCCATTGGAAGAAAATAGCCACATATATCGATTCAAAACCAATCATAATATTTTTCAAATTGCACATGTGTTGAGGCCGAAAATATCAAGATAATAAATTCATTTTTTGTTTTTTTAAAAACTAGATCATCATATGTAAAGATTTAAGAATGAATATGCCTGATCGAAGTGAGAAGAAGGTGGGGAGTGAAAAGACAGTGAAGAAAAGGGGACCTGCCGTCCATTCCCATCTTTTGTGGGTGCAATGCCAAACAGAGGAATTGGAAAGAGACGGATGCTGTAATCAAACGTCGCTTTCAACAGCAAATTGGGATTGAGATAGAAGATGGCAATTAGTACTCCCAAAAGAAAGCAACGCTAATAATAATAATAATAATAATAGTAGGCCCAGGAGATGAGATATATATTGAGAAGAAGATCACGGGGGTTTGTTGGTGTCTTTTTGCGGATGGGACGATTCCCTTCATTTCCCAATTTCCCAAACATGGCAAAATGCCCCATTCCCCCCCACTTGAAATCCCCACCCTTTCTCTGCCCGTGTATGCCGCAACTTTAATCCTTTAACCCAACCTTCCTCTACAACACAAAACAAATTAGATAGCTAGGTACGACTTAGGATCAATAGAGTTTCTATCATTTTAATTCTCTTGTCTGATAAAGTCACTCCATAACTACTTTAATCTTAACAAATTATCTCTGATCAAACTAATAAAATGTTCAATGATGTTTTGAATCAGACGACAATCTTTTAAAATTTAGACGGAAACACTCTCGTATACATCACATAAGCTCGTTTGAAGGGTATGTATTAGAATTTCATATAATCAAAAAAATACACTATTAGGTCACGTGTGCAACTGCACTTTCGTTTAAATTTTGTTAGTCACATCGATTTTAGAGCACCATACCATTGTTTATTAAATTCAGAAGCTAGTTTGTCAAGATTAAGATTTATGAGGGCTACTTCAAAAGAAAGAAAAAAAAAAATCCAAAGGACAGGACGTTCAATTCCATAAATCAATTAGTTATTTGGATGGCAACAGAAATCGATAAGCTATATTGTTTATTTATTTATGTATTTATTTTTTGGGGTTTACGGTTTTCGGCACAAACATTAGATCCTTGGTCAGCCCCGTTTTTTGCCGAACAGGGAAATTGGGATTAGACGCGTCTCCCTAGCTGTCGCTGTGTTTTAGCCGTAGCATTGTTCTCTGTTATTGGCTTCTTTTACTCTTGTCAAGTCATCTTTCTGAAATGTATTTGTATGTATATATCTCATTATTGGAGGGAGATTTGACGCAAGTTTTGGATTCTTGCATGTCTTGTTAGAACATGATCACTTCCGACTTCGACTATTGTTTGTTTCTTTACTATTTTATAATTTTCAAGCATAATTTTCCGATGAACTATATATTGACTCTTTTCATTGTTAACACTTTAGAGCCCGTTTGGTTCATGGATTAAAACTATGAGATTAGAATCATTTTCAATTTACGTGTGTTTTTTGTGAGAGAAAATACTGTAACGAACCATGAATCATGAACAATTGATGCTATTAGTCTAAAAAAGTGATCTTTCAAAAACAAAAATGTATAACTTAAACTATTAGTGAAAATAGAACAATTGATGCTATACTTTAGCTCCTAAAATGCAACTACAATTACCTTTTCTTTTTAAAAAAAATTGAAGCTAGTAACTGTTCGAGTGTCTCAAACTACGGGATTCTAGTTTAGTTTATATTAAACTTATTGATTGCCTCACCATCAACGAGTCGTTGTAGTATAGTGGTGAGTATTCCCGCCTGTCACGCGGGTGACCCGGGTTCGATCCCCGGCAACGGCGTTAGATTTTTAATTTTGTTATACGTATTACTATACTAATAGTAAATAAAGAGCGCCACCACCATATCTTAATCATGTCGTTGTAGTATAGTGGTGAGTATTCCCGCCTGTCACGCGGGTGACCCGGGTTCGATCCCCGGCAACGGCGTGAATCTCTTTTTCCTTATTTTTTTCCTCCTCCTAAAAATTATCTCATCATGATTTTGTGATGAAAATTCAACGAAATCAATAAAAAAGTATTTCTTCCCAACCAGTGTACAATCCAAGGCAATAACGTAATTGTCAATTTTGAGTTTTTCAAAATAAAAACAAATTGAGTTTTTGTCTTTACTAATACTCGATTTGATCTCCTTTTTTTTATTTTTCTTTAATTTCACTAATTAAGTCTTAAACTTAATATTGTTGGTGGGGTTGAGTATTGACTCAAAACCAATATTATTTTTAGTGAAGATGCTGGACATTTATTTACCATCTACGCATCTAAACAAAAAAAAAAAAAAAAACAGTTAAAGAAGTTTGCCATTTACAGAGCCAAGGAGAAAGAGTTAAAATGAGTTTTTTTTTTTTTAATTTTTAAATTTTATATGAATGTAAGAGATTGAACGCACAAAGAAAAAAAAGACAAGATGATACAAACTATCATATTTTACCATTGATTTGCAATAAGCGGACGTATTACTATACTAATAGTAAATAAAGAGCGCCACCACCATATCTTAATCATGTCGTTGTAGTATAGTGGTGAGTATTCCCGCCTGTCACGCGGGTGACCCGGGTTCGATCCCCGGCAACGGCGTGAATCTCTTTTTCCTTATTTTTTTCCTCCTCCTAAAAATTATCTCATCATGATTTTGTGATGAAAATTCAACGAAATCAATAAAAAAGTATTTCTTCCCAACCAGTGTACAATCCAAGGCAATAACGTAATTGTCAATTTTGAGTTTTTCAAAATAAAAACAAATTGAGTTTTTGTCTTTACTAATACTCGATTTGATCTCCTTTTTTTTATTTTTCTTTAATTTCACTAATTAAGTCTTAAACTTAATATTGTTGGTGGGGTTGAGTATTGACTCAAAACCAATATTATTTTTAGTGAAGATGCTGGACATTTATTTACCATCTACGCATCTAAACAAAAAAAAAAAAAAAACAGTTAAAGAAGTTTGCCATTTACAGAGCCAAGGAGAAAGAGTTAAAATGAGTTTTTTTTTTTTTAATTTTTAAATTTTATATGAATGTAAGAGATTGAACGCACAAAGAAAAAAAAGACAAGATGATACAAACTATCATATTTTACCATTGATTTGCAATAAGCGGTTGCAAAAATCTGCTCCACCAGTGGAGTACAAGTATAGGTTGCAATATAAAGACTCTTTTTAAAAAAAAAAAAAAAAATTTAAGAAATCATGCCATGAGTATGCAACTACCTTTATTAAATTTTTAAAAATTCATCATCAATATTGTAGGTAAGGACTACTATCACACAAATTAACTTTTACAAATCAATTAGCAAAAATAATGTAAGTACCGGTAATTTTTCCCAAAAAGTTACAATGCCAATAGCTTTAGGACAAAACAATTTAAATAAAATTTTTGTTCAATACTAGTGAAACAATAACAAATAGAACCATTTTAAAAATATTTTCGATAAATAACATGTTTTAAAATATTTTATAGTAACATTATACATGATTTATTTATATAGTAAATTTATAAAATAATTTTACTATAATCATAAATTATTTACATAAATACAGTACTTATTATAAATATTATTAAATTATGAAATAAAATCATTTTAGTACTATGTGTAGTAGTGAAACATGTTTTTTTTTTTTTTTTTGTTAATAAGCGAAACACACTCGTAGTACCATGTGTTTTTGATAATATCAAAGCGGTATCTCGATGGTTTCAAAAACATATTCTTAGTACCCAGAAGTTGATTTATGAGATACAAATTGACCTTAATACCCATCTATTTAATTAACTAAAAACTAATAAATCTAAAAAAATCATGAGCTTTATTTATTTTGTTGTTTTCTTTTAAATATTTTAATGTTTTAAAATATTTTATCATGTGTTTAGTTGGGCAATTCAACCTAGTTCAATTTGGATTACATTTGCAGTTGGTATTTAGTAAGGGTGTTAATTGCAATTGAAAAACCTATCCAGTCTAAGTTGAAATGGTTGAAGTACGGATTTAACCCTCTCCAATTCGATATTTCCAACCTATCTTCTACCGTAAACAATTCCACTTTTCATTTTTTTAAATATTGATTGTTTTTAATGAATAAGAAATATAATTTAGGACCTGTTTAATTCGTTGATTCAAGTTAAGATGTGACGTTATGTGAGAGCTTTTTATTGTAGTAAAAAAATTAGATGTAATTGTTTCTGAAAGCTTTTTACTGTAATAAAATTCGAATTCTAAACTCGAATCGGTGAAATAAACGGGACCTTAAATATTATATGTTCTAAAAATCAGTTTAAAGATATAAATAGATGTTTTCAAAAACTTCATAGTACCATTTTAATATTAAGAAAAAACACAAAATACTAAAAGGAGGTTTTGCTATAACATAGAATATTAAAACGATTTTATCCCTTAAATTGTTGTATTTATTATAAATATTTTAAGAATATGCTATGCAGCTCTCTCCCTTAATTTTTCCCCCTTAAATGGGAGCTCAATGAAATTACCTCCTCGATTTTAAAACATTATTAAGTTTTTGGAGGGAAAATCACACACCCCCAAAATATAATTTTCCCACTCCCGCCATTGAAATCATCTCTCTCTCTCTCTCTCTGGGCTATTCGATGCTTTTGACGAGAGCAGATACTCTTCCGATCTCAACATGGCGGAACTGAAAGGCGACAAAGAAAAACAGGACGGTCTAGAAATCACATCCATCGGCTCCCTCTACACCGGTCCTTGGGACAAGAAGTATTGGAGCTCCTCTAGGGTTTGTTTTTCTGATTCCTCTTTGATTTTGCTCCAATTTCATGTTTTTTGTTCTATTGGATGAATAATTATACTTTTCATTTCGATTTGATCTATTTTTAGATGCTTCAGACTGTAGTTTACTAGTTTCCGCGAAATTCTGGAAAAAATTTCGCAGGAAATGATAATCTATGTTGAAGAAATGCTGAGAGCTAATATACGAGTACGACCAGTTTGGGCGCTAATTGTTGTGTGGATTAAGATTCATAGAATTGTCTTGCCTTGATTGTTTTTTTATATATTTCTTTTCACTTGTTTTTCGATTTGAAGATTGTGAAGATTATCAAAAGTTGACGGAGTTTTGAGAAAATTCTTAATAATTGAATCTGGCTATGAGAAGGGAAGATTTAGGTGTAAGATAGCTGAGTCTGCTTTGAGGGCACCGATTGGGATCTGAAGCCTTCATTATAGGACGATAGATATCATTTTTCGTTTAAGCTTTCCTTTTGTTTCTACGAGAAGTAGGGGAAATTAACTGGTCCCAGTTTCCAAAGTGTATCTTTTCAAAAGAGAGTCAAATTAGTAAGTGCTTGTTTGTTTATTTGCATTAAAAAATTAAAAAGTAGGATGTCATTTCATATTAAAAAAAAATAAAAAAGTAGGATTCATTTCAAGGCTTAGCTCATTCTTCCTGCAGGATTAGGAACCTGACTTCATAGTTGTCCACAATGTGTTGCGTGGTTAACAACAACATATGTGATATGTCATGTTGCAAAAGCAATTGACTGAATTTTGATATTTTGTAGGGTAAAGGCCGGTATCCTTATCCAGTTGGGTATGAAGCTGTTCGAGCTCATAATGGAAGTACATATAAGATGGAAATTCATGAAGGTCCTAAAGGGCCTATGTTTATTGTTAGTAGCCAGCCCCTATTGTTGTTGGTTTAATGATAATTAGTTCATGTTATCACATGATATAAGAAAATAAACACAAAGCAACTTCATTTCCACAGATTTCTACTGCTGATGGACATTCATCTTCTGGGCAAACTCCAGACATTGCATGGGAGAAATTCCAAAAGAAGTATTGTCCCCATGTGAAGATTTGGCATGGAAAGAGATTTTCGTGCAACATAGATGGTGTGGAGGTAATTTCTATGCAAGTTGACGTGTTATAGAAAAGCTGAATGCACTGGTTATAGTTTCTTGAAGGATTTTTGTTGTTTTTACTTGTCGGTCACAATGTTCCACCTTTTGGAACTTATGAGTGATCTATAAACTATTCTAAATGTTTTTCTTGGCTCTGCTTATGGAACTCTTATAACTGGGATTCCTGTCGTTGCCCAATCATTTGGTATGGTGCTTTTCTGGGAACTCATAATGGGGGCTGTTCAATCGTTTGGTGCGGTTAACTTTACACAAGATATTTTTAATTTTTTTAGTGAAAGTAGAATATTTCTTTTGATAGCATTTGTCTTCCCCGATCCCCGATTAGTTGCTCAAATTTGTACAAATGGTGATCATTCAATATCTGTGCTTTAATTTTTAAATATTTAAAATTATTTTTTCATTGTATTTGCAGTTTTTTGGGTTTAAAAATTCATTTGTTCAGAGGCTTCTTCGAGAAATTGTGGCGAATGTTAGTGGAACTATAGAAAAGAATCTATTGTCCTCCAGCTTCTGCAAAGAGGGCCCTAAAGCAGATCATATTAGTAGCCACCCTGATGCACAAGCGCATCATGATTTACTGCCCTTGGACAGATCACAGATAATAGGAAAGAGAAGTAGGAGACTCAAAATCGTGAATACAAAGTCATCCAACAACGCTAATCTCAAAAGATCAAGGTCTCAAGCTCTGGCTAATGTTGCTGAAGCATCAAATAGAATTGAAGAGAACCAAAGAATCATAGCTACTGGGAGTCCCTTGCCTTCTTTTAAAGGAAAGTGTGATGACAATGAACAGCCAACAATCGTGCCACGATCAGTGAGTCACATTTCAGAGAGTGACTTGCCATTGAATTTGGTTGACATCTCCAATAATCTTAGAAACATTGTGCCTTCTGAAGAAACAAGGTTGGTGGTTCGTTCAAGAAATTGTGCGTCCACTAATCTAGCTGGCAAATTGCTGACCGAGGAAAAATATGTAAGCACAGCTTTCCTGTTTTCTAGTGCACTATTGGAAAACTAGGTTTCCCTAATATTATTTAGAAATCATTTGATTTGTAGGCAAACTTAGTTGCCACATGGTTGTTTAGTAAATTGCTGTATGACAAGAAGAATCTTAAATTATCACAGCTTGACAGGTTGCAAGGTACTGAGGTGGAAGACTTCATTTCTCCAATGTCACTTGAAGTAAAAAATGGGGAGCATCCAGGTCTGAGAGATGATCAAGTTGCGAATGATGTAGTGCTTTATGTTCCTGATACCTCAGATTTGGTGCAAGGTATTCCTTAAGTCATCCATCTTCTACTGATCTTCCCTTTCAATTTTCGTTATTTATTCTTTTCCTCATCATTCTATTAGTAACTGCTAGTAGTTAAATGCAGATGATACTGCTGATAATGGTCCAAGTGTCCAGGATAAAAGAGAATCGACTGCAGCAGACATGATCATTTCAGAAGGTTTGGTGAGTGAAACTGATCCAGAAGAAGAAAGAGGCACATCCAATTCCAATGGAAGTTCTCAAAAGAGTGACTTTGATTCAGTTGGTCAAGAAACAGCCAAGTCTATGATGTCATTTCTTCTTCCTCAAGCAGTTCCCTTGCTAAAAAAGTCCTCAAGGAAGAAAAAAGCCGCTGTTAGCTCTTCGGAAATTATGCCTTTTGGGGAGAATACTCCGGAGCTAAATAAAAAAACTAATGTTTCATCTCCAGGTGTTGTTTCCTTTAAAAAATCCATTCATTTATTTTCCCATATTTTTTTAGCCTTTAATTTGTCTAATTATCGTTTGTGCCTTTTAAGTTTTAACATCTAGTTCTATTTGTAAAGGGCACTAACAAGTTTAGCTCTCATATATTCAGCTGTATTGGTCACTGAGAATAAAATGGTGGATTTGAAGGAGCGGATGAATGTCCAAATTACGAATCTGCATTCAGCTGATGCAGAAAACATTGTTACCCTTGACAATTTGAGGGATCAAATATATGGTGAACATGCATCTTACCATGAGATATTGCCCTCTTTTGATGCCAAAGCCGATCAAGTTAGATTTAATGACAAAGCATACCCTTGCAACGCATGCGGACAATCTATTGGGATTGGGGAGGAGTCAGATTGTTTTCTTGAGAACAGTGAAAGCAAAGATATATTCTGTTATGATGAAGTACACATGGATCCAAGCGGAATGCTTCATCAGGGTGATGTCATATCCAAGTCTATGCCAAGTTCCACCGTCCCCTTTAATAATGATTGTGCTGAAGAAATCAGGGATGCTTGTCACTCAGCAGGTATTGCAATTTTGATAACCTGAAAAGAGACGCTCGCTGCACCTGATAGGATTACTTTAATGTGTCAAGCCAACCTATTCCTCTAAATTTTATGTCCAGTTCTCTAATGCTCAGAATATGCTAAAAATGATTAACCAACTAATCTAAAATCAACAAGGTTAGGAGCCAACTATATTGTTGCGCATTGAAGTAGACAATCCACATGATTATCTCCTTGTTCCTTGCAATTATTCTTTGTTGGGAAGCCGTTAGACCTGTTAGTGAATGCAGAACTTGGGAGCCATAAATAATGCAATGAGTATAACCTTTTCTCATTTACAAAATAGAATGGTTTTGTGCATAGGTATAAGTATAACATATTACTTGTACTTCTCCAGATATAAGATATGATAATTCTCTTAAAAACAATTTCCAACTTAGATAATGCTTCGTTTTATGCAGGCAGGTTGCGTTCTTCAAATATATCGCCAGAAGAATCTTGTGTTAAAAATGTTGTTGATAATTGTAGTAAGACATCTACTGAGGTTCCAAGATTAGTATATTCCAGAAGAAGGGAGCAGGTTAAAGCCATAACTCAGATAAAGGGAAAGTACAATTTTCCTCTCTCAGAAAGTATCATATGTAGTAATGTTGAAGATAATCATGTCTCTGAAACATGTCCTAGTAGAAATCCAATAGCCTTGGAGACGGTGGAAATGGGTTCTTCTGATGAAAAATCACATACAAAAGATCTTGGACTTGGTGAGCTTATTGGTTGCTATCTCCACCCACTTCCTGTTTTGTCATTACTGGTGTGCACAACAGGCGAAGACATCCACATTTGTGTTTTATGTGGCCTTCGGGTTAACAAGGACAGGACCCTTTTTATCTATAAAATAGCAACTCAAGAGCCAAGAGTTGGATATCCCTCTTTTGTGGGTCACACATCAGTGACACTGCCGTCTCTAAAAGATTATTTTGGTAAAGAAGTAAGTTATCATCTGCATATATGTAGGCTTGTTTGCTTTTATTAAATGTCTCGTGATGTTCTTGTTACTCTTTCTCAGATTGCTCTGGAAAGATCTGGCTTGCAATACACTCCAGGAGGGCAATATCTTGTTTTGCTTGACTGCATTAGAACACCTTATTGCAGGTTGATTATCTCTGCAGATTCTAGTTACACAAAATATGTAAAAGAAAAAATGGAGTTTTTACATGATAAATTACGCTACATATTTTCAGGCAAGGGACAATTCCTTGTTTGTGCCCAGCATGTGCATCAGGCAGCTTTGAGGAGGATGCGGTGAAGATTGTAGAAGTAAAACTGGGATATGTCTCAGTAGTTGTAAAACTGAAAACACTTGAGAGTTTACAGTGTGTATTGGTTTGTGAACCTAACCATCTTGTTGCCGTTGGGGAGAGCGGGAGATTGCATCTGTGGGTTATGAATCCAGCATGGAGGTGAGTTTTGTTGCACCATGTCAATCAAGTTTTACTTTGTATTCATGGAACTATTTGGCGGCCTTTATGACAATGTCACATTTATGATTCTTATTGTGGGAATGAACTTGTTGCACTACAAAACAAGCCAGGTTCTTACTGGCTTCTACTTGTTTTACTTCAGATTTTATCCTTTCAACCATACAAGTCGTTTCTAACTCCATTCTCTCAACTCTCAAAATCATACACATCACAGTTGTGATGATGTATTTTATTGCAACAGAAAACTTGTCTAAATTTTAACAGTTCAGAGTACTGACCAATAACCATTTCTCACTCAAACAGAGAATGGTCTCTGAAGCTATGTTGAAATATTGATTTATTTTGTTATCTATTTAACCGATCCCCCAGGAAGTATTCATTTAGTTCCCTTGTTTTTCAGTGCACAAACAGAGCAATTCATCCTGCCTGCGAATGATCTCGTATCCCCTGGCATAGTGGAGTTAAAGAGAATTCCAAAATGTGTTCGTCTTGTTGTTGGCCATAATGGATTTGGGGAATTCAGTTTATGGTATGCTTTTCCCAGTATCATAACTTTTAAAGTTGTATAATTTATATTTTTTCGTTTAATGAAATGAATAGTATGGTGTATACTATATCTTTAGTTGCTGGTAAGCATTGCAAAAACTTTTTATATAAATATAAGTATAGTTATGGGCATGTATTCTCGCACGCTATAAGTAAACTTCATTGTATCAATCAATTTATATCTTTTGCCTTTTGTAGGTCTTATCTATATGATGATACTATTTGTGCTACATTTTGAGTGTTAAATTTTGCATAGGTTTCACTAATCTGAAGAAAATTTAGGTGGAAGACTCATAGCTTAATTTTGTAACATCTATTAGATTCTAATTTGCAGACGTTTTTTTTTTTTTTCAGGGACATTTCAAAAAGAATCCTTGTTTCAAAATTCTCTACATCATGCACTTCTTTCAGTGAATTCTTTCCTGTCGCCTTGTTTGGTTGGAAAAAGAAAGGACATAGTTTCGGCGACTGTAATGTGCATGGACATGTCAATAGAATGATGGCTGCAACGAATATGTGGTTCTCAGAGCAAACCAATGACGATTCCCTTCCACTGTTAGAGGAGGAGATTGCTGTCTGGCTTCTTGTCTCCGTTCCATCTGATTCTGATGATCACCATGACTATACATCCGGCGACTATCATACAAAATCAGTAGGATGGTGGCGGCTTGCTCTACTGGTGAAAAATATGGTAATCCTGGGAGGTGCATTGGATCCAAGGTGCTTTAATATTTGTTTTCTCAACCCTACCTTTGTATTTTATAAATGTATAGTTTGTACCTTGTTAAAATGTTTGTACAAAATGGAGTAATTTACATTTCCATTATGGTAGTGTTATGATCAAGTGTTAAGTATCATAGAGGTGATTTGATCTTATACTATGCAGCGCTGAAGCTATTGGTGCCTCAGCTGGTCACGGAATCATTGGTACGTGTGATGGACTTGTGTACATATGGGAAATGTCCACAGGAACTAAACTTGGCACCTTGCATCATTTTAGAGGTAAGTTACGTTTCAGTTATTGCATTAAAATCTACATTGATGTGACCCCCTTTTAACTACTTTGGGATATATGTTCGTATACCTGCCTAGTCACACGCTTAACATAATAAAATAATAGGCTGTTTTACACATTTGGCCCCTGAACTTGTACTGTTTTAGCAGTTTGCCCCTGAACTCTTACTTTTAACAAGTTGCCCCCTCAACTTGTAAAATTGTTACAACATGCCCCATTTTGATGATGGTTGTGTTAAAATTAGTTTTGAAAAAGCACATTTCACAACATATTCCTATATCCCATCTCAAATGTAACACAAATATTTCAATTCTTCAACTCTTAGTCCCTTATGTCTAATAAAAAATTTAAGAAAATTTAGTAAAATGGGGCACATTACAGGCAACTGTGCTAAAAACCCTAAAACGATATTAAGAAAAGGTTGAGCAAACTCAATTAACTTATGATCTCTTACGGAGGCCCCGCTCATTTCACCGATTCAAGTTTTAGTATATCAAAAGTTCTAAAAAACAATCACATCTAACTTTTTTGCTACAGTAAAAAGCTCACATAAAGTCACATCTCAACTCAAATTAAAAATTTAAATCAGCGAACTAAACGGGTTCAGAATCTGTAAGGTAATTGTTGGGATTTGGGCCTTTGCTCCTCGGTTGCCTTTTGTCTTTTGCAATCTGAATATGGTAGTTATGGCTCAGTACTTTTGCTGTCTTTATTTTTTGCCTTTAATTTTGTTTTAATTCTTTTTTTTTTTTTTTTTTTTAGTATATCAAAAGTTCTAAAAAACAATCACATCTAACTTTTTTGCTACAGTAAAAAGCTCACATAAAGTCACATCTCAACTCAAATTAAAAATTTAAATCAGCGAACTAAACGGGTTCAGAATCTGTAAGGTAATTGTTGGGATTTGGGCCTTTGCTCCTCGGTTGCCTTTTGTCTTTTGCAATCTGAATATGGTAGTTATGGCTCAGTACTTTTGCTGTCTTTATTTTTTGCCTTTAATTTTGTTTTAATTCTTTTTTTTTTTTTTTTTTTCAGGTAGCTCCGTTTCATGTATTGCTACCGATGATTCGAAGAAAGGTGCTGTAGCCATCTCTGGTGGCGAAGGTCAGTTGCTGGTTTATCTGCTCTCTCAAAATAACAAACCAAACTAGCAAGGACGAAAGCAAGTTGTTTCTCTATCTTGCTCTAATTTCAGAGCCGGGATATGGAAACCAATCAACCTTACACTTTTTGCACTCCCATTAACGGAGGCTAACTTGGCAATAACTGCCATTCAGCAAGGTAACATGTACTTTTAACTGTATAGTGTAAATAAATGTGAGTATAGTAATTCACCCATTTTAACTCATACTTTAGCCTTCAAATTTCTATACTTCTCATCAATACTATAATACCGTTTTGTGAGACACAAGCAACAGAACCAATACCATATTCAATGTAGGCTTAGAACAGAAAGTAACTAATTGCAATCATGCATATGGCTGTACAGAAGTTTGTTACTGGGGCTTGCATAAAAAATTGGAAGCTGATCATCCTTATGGTCCAAGTAATATAAAATTTTACTGGTGGAACTAATGTTATGGGGTTTGGTAATTTAAATTTTAATTGATCAGTCATTGTCTCGTGTCAAGAAGAAAATGTTAACTCACGCAAGGAGAAACTACCAATCCGGCTTTGAACATAACTAGTTTATCTATGTATCTACTTGCATAGAACGAAAAACTTTTTTACACTGCACATGGGTTGCTGGGGTTTGTGATTAAATAGGGTGGAGCTTGCTAAGCAATTCTCTCTTGAGACACATCTATGGGAAATTGTAAGTCACTTTGCACAATATCCATATACTACAACAGTAATAAAGTTGGCATTTCACGATATACATATGTGGGTGTATATAATACACACACACACACACACACACATTTGTAACCATTTCATATGCAGGAAACCCTTATGTTAAGATTTTCTTATTAGTGCTTATAGACTCACATGGTAGTGTATTTTAAGCTAGTCTATTAACAAAAGTAATAAAATCTTAGCTATTCTGAGAGTTGCGTCTTTTAATTACTGTGGTCATTAACTATGATGCAAAAGAATTTACATGAGAAAATCACATGCACCTCTCAGTCCCTTTGTGTTTTCTCTGATCTCTCTAATTTAACCTTAAAAATCGATGCGCTCCTTTATATAAGAGAAATTAGAGGAAATGAATTTCTAAGTATGAAATCCCCAAAATGCGCTTAATGTAACTAGATCGATCTACATGTTGTCTCTATGTAAGACAGTAATCCCCAAACAATAATTAGGTTTCACGACCAAAACAATATATATGGGTGGATGAAATACTAGTATGGCCCATTACAAGACGTCAGCTTGATGATGTCCCTACAACTATCACCACTTGGTTGAATTTTTCTCTTTTCCCCCACTAGAAAGTCATATTCATCATTATTAGTGTCTAGTACTATTACCTTGATCTAGTCTAGCATAATTTGTCGAATTTTTAACACACATAATTTAGGCAACAACACACACGCATATTGTATGTGTATATCTATGTATGCATCTATGTATACACAAATATATGGTGCTTAACGAGGCATTGTTATACACCACCAGTGATGTTGATATCGGGCTTTTATGTCTTTATTGTTAGAGTGTTAGTGAGCATTTCCTTAACGTTGTAGCACCACTTATATTTGTATTCTTCTCGATGAAATGATCCTTGCTTTTTTAGCGTTCAACACTGCTAATAGCCTAATACTTAAATTTTATTCTCGATCAATGAAATCATCCTTGTTAAATGGGAGAAATTCTTATGCTTTGTTCATTTTCTTGCAATATGAAGAACCACCACTGGGTCGCCACCGTTGGAAGGACCACTGATGCCCAATTCGTACGGCTAAAATGCCATTTAATATCAAAACTTGATGAGAAAATTGTTGAACTTGAGTTTGGAATTTTATCGCTTACTTTTGATCAATACTTTTTTGATTAATATAGTTATATGACTTGAAAGAATATTAATTAAGAGGAATGGATAAAAATTCAGATCCATCCACTTTAAAAGATATTTGTCACCTTTTTTTCAAATTTAATTGAAGTAGAAATGCTACTTCATGACCGTGTTTAGTGATTTGGTTAACCGGTGAAAGTCCGGTAACGTGGAGGTAAAGTGCAGGAAATGGGGTTCATGGCGACTAATGTTGATATTATGTTATACACGAGATATGTAATTTTGTTTAGAATATTTACTTAGAGAATGCTATTAACATTAAAAAAAAAAAAAGAAAATTTCTCTATGAACATATGATATGAGAAAAATCACACCTGTTAGTTTATATAATAATGTGTATTTAAAGGACCGAGCTAAAACACATGGGGTGGGTTGCTCATGTTAGAATGGTGGACCCAAGCCGATCTCCTTTAAGATAAATCAGTTGAGCTTCCATATGCGTACACAATAACTGTAATAAAGCTGGCATTTTCATGACATTTTTTTTACCCGTTTTGTACTTCAAACGCGAAAAATTCACATCACAATACTTTGCTAGAAAATTCAGCATACCAGTACAAGTGACCATGAGAAAAATGCATGTACAAAAGATGAGAGTTATTTATCGCATATTCTTAATGTCATTGTCGCTATTGTCATTTTCTTATGCAGCTCTCTATTCGCATGGCTATTTTCTCTATTTGCTAGATTGGATAGTTAAAGTGGTTTGAATTTAAAGTTTTGATTCAAATTGGTGTTTGTTTGTAAAAAGTAAAAAGTATATATCCCTTAAATTATCATGGTCTGAATCTAAAGTTTTATTCACACTTTTCAAATGAGTATAATTTAAACTAAAAAGTTCTAAATAAATTGGTATGAATCCTTCGACGAAACGAGTGTGTCATTCAAAAGAAGGTTCACGTTCGTCCTGAGTTTTTTTTTTTTCCTGTTCTAAGTTCCAACACTTTTTTTATTTTTTTATTTTTTTTGTGGGAGGGGGCTTGATTATTGGGGACCCTACCACATCTCCTCTCTTTTTTTCTTTTCACAGAATCCGTTATTGTGCAACTACTCCCAATAGACACGACATGTTTCCAAGCATGCATGAGTTTTGGATCTTTCTGACGTAATTATCTTCTACTGTCTGAAATAATATACTTCTTATGCGTTATGATTATTTCACCTTTATTTGTGGCCCCATTAACGGAGGATTCTTTATGATAGAACCCCAAAAAGTACTCCATTAGTGGAATATTGTTTTTTTATGAATTACTTTTTTAACTATTAGATTTACAGTAAAAATAATTTTATATAATGTGCTGTAAATTTTTAATACGGCGTATAAATTTAATCGATAAAAAATTAATCTAACGGTTAAAAAAATAATACTCCATTAATGGAGCATTTTTTGGGGTTCCACAATAAAGAATCCCCATTAATGGAGATTTCTCGAGATAAATAAACTCAAACCCCTAGTATCCAACTAAATTAGAATTCCATTAAAATAGGGTTAATGATTTTGTTAGTCCCTAAACTTTGAGCATAGTTACATTTTGATCTCTGAAGCTGTAATTTAGGCATATTTACTCCTTAAACTTTCACTTTTTAATTATTTTGGTCATTGACAACAAAATTAACGAACGATTTATGAAATTTAATAAGGATAAATATGTATTTATTGTGTGACAATTTTAAAATTTTACAAAAAGAATTACGTATATGCAAAATTTTCTCTTTGTTACTATGCAAACCTATTAAAAGTTATAATATTTTACACATACCGTAACTATTTTTTTTTTAATTTTTTGTTATTTTACGATAATGATGTGATTATCAAGATTAACTTTCAGAAAGCGTTTCTTGATTTTACTGTCAGGGACTATGTCAAAAATGAAAATTTAAGGACTAAAGATGCCTAAATAAAAGATTCAAAACAGAGCTATTAACCCTAAAAAAAGAAAACATGTAGTTATACATATGTTGTACATCACGTTTGTTGTCAACATAAATACTGAAGAAATCCTCTAGCTATACGTACCGAAAGGCGAAATAAAAATTTCAAGTTAAACAGATCTCTGCGGCTGTTTCCGGAGTAACCGGTTAGGTTCAAGATATGATTGACCAACGGAAATTCATAATTGAAAGAAGAGAGTAGGGGAACAAAAGATGGACAGAAAAGTGATGCAATGAGTTCACACAAGAATATGGTGGAGTAATAGTGTGTGTGTGTATATATGTGTGTATGTGTATGTGTGTATGTATATATGAGAGACCAAACAAATAATGCACGTGGGGAGAGTCTTACAGATGCATGTTGCTGCTTCAGCATAAGCTCAAAGTATTCTCGGCCCGTTGCGAATCAAAATCAAAGTGAGCATCAATCGTTCACATCATTTTGGCATGGAAAAGTTGCGTCTTTCTTCTGCAACTTGCTCGGAAAGTGTTGATCCTAGCTATGTTATATAAGTTTTGATCGATTATTTCCAGAAAATTTGCTTTTCCATATTCATCAAGAGATTATGGTTGGAAAGGCATGACTTTTTTTTTTTTTTTTTTTTTTTTTTTTTTTTTTTTTTTGGGTTGAAAAGGATTTTTTTTTTTTTTTTTTTTTTTTTTTTTTTTTTTTTTTAATATATGTTAAAGTAGTGAATTTCAACGCTACACTCTAAAGTGAAGTTAGGTGTGGATTTACGTGGCCACAAAAGACATGTAAATTAGTTTAAGCATCTTTCCTACCTGAAAATTTTGAATCGGAGGGGGGATATTATTATTAATGCTCTTTCTAATGTTTATTTACAAAAAATTAGAATGGGAAACAATTTAAGGTTCAAATTTTGAATGGGCTTAAATTGTAAGTCTAATTTTGATGTCCAAAAACATGTCTAACCAATTGTATCATGTCACATTATTTAAAAAATGTGAAATGTTCTTTAATTGAATTTATCATGCTTGTCCATTGAATGATATGGTAAAATGTGATTGGTTATATACTATTTCAGACATTGAAAATTAAACAGACCATTTGAATCCATTTTGAAATATCATGCTCCAGGATATAATTAAGAAAAATAATAATCTATTTAGTTGGGGGAGAAAAGAATGAAATAGGTGAGTTGAGTTTTGGTAGGACTATGAGAGACGCGCTTATTTGGTCAGACAAAAATTGATGGGAGAAGTGATAAGGTGAGAGATTTTAAATCAATACAACCTGACTCCATTACCTCTCCACTAATTATGAAGGGAAAAGAGTAGAATTCAATACAAACAAAATAATACTAGAATATAAAATAAATTAAATTCAGACGATTTAAGTAGATGAAAAATTTGAATGATTAGACAGCAATTAATACAACAAAAGTTATAGAGGTGATTTGAGTTCTTAGGATAAGGAAAAATAAAAATAAGGACCCTGCAAAATGTACATTGATCTTCTAATTATTTTAGTACCACATCTTAGAGAATATATTCCACAAATTAATTAGACATTAAGGAGAAAAATTGTTGTGATCTTGGCATGTTTTTTTTCCTTCCCTCTAGATGTACATTGCAAGGACTAGGCCCCCAGGTAGTATTAGGTACATTAATTTGTCCTATATATTTAGCCTGCGTATCGCAGAGACCCCATTCACAAAAAAACCTCTGCCAAAAAAAAAAAAAAAAAAGAAGCTGTTGTTAAGGTCATTATCAGTTTCAGTCACATTTATAGTATTAGCAGAGCAGTGTGCCTTAATGATGTTGCCTTTGGTTTTTGGGCTGTCCTTTGGAGTACTCTTTTCTGTGATCTGCTTTGCTTTGCTCAAATGGAATGCTTTGAGGTACAATCTTGCAGGTAAGGGCCTGCCACCAGGCACAATGGGTTGGCCAGTTTTTGGTGAGACTACAGAGTTTCTCAAACATGGATTGGATTTCTTGAACAACAAGAAAGCTATGTAAGTAACTTGAGCTTTTTTTCCATGGTCATACTTAGGGTTTTTTTTTTTTTTTTTTTTTTTTTTTTTCATTCATGGTCATATATTTATTCATGGTTTGAGACTATAATATAGATATGTATGTATGTGTTAAAATGGTAGAATAATTTTCAGTTTCCTCTGGCATTGTGATTATAAGCATTTAAGTTTGAGAGCACATATTTGTCTCCAAATTATATGATGTTATGGATTGGTTTTGTGTTGCCATCAAACTGTTGCTAGATAGTCCCTGCATGTTTTCTTTCTTTCTTGTTTTTCATTTTCCATAGAATGTGTAGCTTTTAGTGGCTGCTAAAGTTATAAAAGTTGACATAATATTTGATTAGTGGACTTGTCTAATTATCTTGCTCTCAACCATTACCTTTTCATTGCATAAGGAAGATGATTTATAGCTACTGCCGGTTGGGCCCATTAAAAGAACGTCTTTTTCACCAAAGGTCAATTTGGTCAAAAATAGCATAAATAATAATAAAAAAAGGAAAGAAAGGAAAAAAATGGAAGAGATTTTATGGTAGGGAATACTTACTAGTATTAAAGTCAAATTATATTAGAATGAAATTGATTTAAAAAAATGTTTGCTTATTTTTATTAAAATAAAACAATTAGCAAAGAATCAATATCAACAAGGTATTTCTTTTTCATATCTTATTATTAAAATCTCCAAAAATGCGTCTTTTAAATTACTGAAATTATGCTTCATATATACTTCTCGTGAAAAGAATTAAGAAGGTGACATTGATACGATCCTCGGAATGGATTCTGGTGGCCGGATCGGATAATCACTCTTCGAGTGAGCGTAAACTCCAAGAAATGAGAAATAGAGGAAGGGCTAGTGAGAATAAAGAAGGAAGGGGAAAAACTAATTCATTTCATTCATGTCCCCTTTAGCCAAGGATGACTTACATATTTATAGGCACAAAAACTAACTAACTAACTATTTTTTTTTATCACCGCTAATTAACAAATTCTAAAAATCAACTAATATTTAGGGGTGTATCATTCCCCAACCCTTCAAAATCACCTTGTCCTCAAGGTGGTTAAAAAAAAGAAAGTTTAATTCAAACACTAAAAAGAAATAATCCCTTCAGCATATTGATTTATTTTTTATTTTCTTTATTTATTTTTTTTAATCCTTTTAGCCTCCTCGTGCTTATACTCTACTATGACCTGAGAAAGCCCAAGCCAGCAGAGGCCCATCAAGAGCAGGGAAGAGTCCAACTGGATGTCTGACTATGGAAGCAAGGACTCTGTCGTTTGGAACCCAAGGAAGTCGTTTGGAGGCTTATTCTTCTTCCCCAAATTGAGTCGTGAAAATCTTTCATCGCCGTTCCCCGTCCTCGCAACCCAGGCGATCTTGACGCCGATGCATTCCCGGGCTTTTCCGCCGTCGTCAGCTGTTGCAGCCCCGACAAGGCCCGGCTGTCGTCATCCCTGAGCAATCCTTCACGACCAAGCTTCCTTGCGTTCGTTGCCGTTCTTTGTTGTAGCTTGCCTTCGCTCGCATATTATGTTCTTCCGCCTCTTACTTCCGTTTCGTCAATCTTGTTTTCAGTACGTCTTTTTTTTCCTCGGTCTTTCACAAAACTCATTTGCCTCTTCCTTCTATATCCACCAATTCGGAATTCCAAGGCGTGAAGGAACCCGGATGTGAGGCAAATTTCTGGCTTTGCTTTGGGAAAGATCGAATCAGGTACGATATGAGAAGGATCTAGCGGTCACGGATCTGATCCTTGCTTCGGGTACCGAGCAGGTGTGGTGGTGGCATTCTCGGTCTCTCCAGGTCGCGTATGGGGTTGTGGTTTTGACAGTGGTGGACGATCAGTGGAGATCGGAGTTGTTGTGATTGAGTTGATTTTGATTGGCTCTGGTTTTGGCTGACGAATACTCGGAGCGAAGGCTGAACATGGGAAGGTGAGTGGTAATGCTGGCCCGTGTGATTCCAAGAGCCCGGATTGTGGTGGTGGCTGGTTTGTGGTTGAATCTGCCTTGGGTGGTAACTGTGTAGACAGAATTGTATTGCTGTTGTCGAAGGAGGACGTAATTTCCAGGGATGCCGGCCGGTGAAAGTGTAGGTAGTCTAGGCTTTTGCACCATTGAGCTGGCCGTGTATGGACTATCACCAAGGGCTTCCATAACTAAGAAATAGTCTGCGAAGTCGTTGCTGCCGATAAGCTCCATCGATATCATCGTCATCTCTCAATGAAAGCACCAATGATACGACCCTCGGAATGGATTCCGGTGGCCGGATCGGATAATCACTCTTTGAGTGAGCGTAAATTCTAAGAAATGAGAAATAGAGGAAGGGCTAGTGAGAATAGAGAAGGAAAGGGAAAAACTCATTCATTTCATTCATGTCCCCCTTTAGCCAAGGATGGCTTACATATTTATAGGCACAAAAACTAACTAACTAACTAACTATTTCTTTTGTCACCGCTAATTAACAAATTCTAAAAATAAACTAATATTTAGGGGTGTATCAGACACCTTTACGTACTCATCGCTTTAGGGATTACATGATCATGAAAGAGCCAATGCTAGTAATAAATCACATAGTTCAATATATTAAGTATTACTATTTTTCACAAAAATAATTGGGAATATTATATTCCAGTTTCGTTCATGGACAAGATCTTAAGCAGAATATCATTGTTTAATTTACCATAAACAGGTACGGAAATGTGTTCAAAACTCATATATTTGGAAGTCCAACAATTATTTGCATGGATCCAGATCTCAATAGATACATCCTCCTCAATGAAGGGAAAGGACTTGTTCCTGGATATCCTCAGTCTATGGTGAACATATTAGGAAAGAGTAACATTGCTGCAGTATATGGTTCTTCTCACAAGCATATTAGAGGCTCACTCTTGTCCCTTGTTGGTCCTCCTGCCATTAGAGACCTACTTTTACCGAATATCGATAAGTATATGAGATTCTTTCTCCTCAATTGGGATGGAAAAACCATTGACATTCAAACCAAAACAGTTGAGGTAATGGATACCACATTTTCGACCACGTTTGCAAAGAAAAAAGAAATATATAGTTATAGATGTTGAACAGGGATGGTTTAATTTTTTGTATTGGTTTGTTATAGATGGCGTTTTTCGCGTTCTTCAAGCAGATTTTGGAAGACGAATCGAGCACGATCTATGAATCTTTTAAGGCAGAGTTTCATAAGATACTAGTAGGAGCGTTCACACTGCCTATCAACATTCCTGGTACAAGTTACTATCAGGGTATGCAGGTATGTTATCAAGCAGTATATGATATGGGGTGAAAAATACTTTTCCTTTATACCCTTATGATTGCAAAATCTATACATTTTGGCTGTTGAAATTTTCTCAGGGAAGAAGAAGCATTGAGAGATTATTGATGCAAATTATGGAGGAGAGAAGAGCTTCAGGTTCGCAAAATGACATGCTCGATCGGATTCTAAGAGACGAGGAAAACAATCATAATCTCATTGATGAAGAGATAATTGATCAAATAATCACAATTTTGTATTCTAGTTTTGAGACTGTGTCAACTACTTCAATGATGGCAATCAAATATCTCCATGATAATCCAAGAGCTCTTCAAGAACTTAGAGTAATTCATAATTTCATTTAGTTGATTAGTTAACTTCTGATGTTCTTAATATTCTCATGGTTCACCAGTTCATTCTGATAAATCCCAATTAGGAAGAGCATTTAGCGATTCGAAGAAGGAAAAAAGAAGAGGAGCCTATTATCTGGGATGATTACAAAAAATCCATGAGTTTTACTCGCGCCGTAAGTGGTTTGAAAATTTTTTTTTGTTTGTTTCTGCCAAGGAAAAAAAAAATTGTGTGTGTAATATGTACTTTTTTTCTTCAGGTTATATTTGAAACATCAAGGTTGGCTTGCGTTGTCTGTGGGATGATGAGAAAGATAGCTTCAGATATGGACTTGAATGGTATTTTCATGAAACCTTGATTTTTCATATGCATCTAAATCACTTCCCTTATAAACACTTATCAATTAGAAAAAAAAAATTCTTATTTTTTAGTAAAAAAATCATATGTGTTTGTCTTTATCAGGATTTGTGTTTCCCAAAGGATGGAAAGTGTATCTTTTTACAAGAGAGACCAACTTTAATCCATTCCTTTATCCTGAACCTTTCACTTTTAATCCTTGGAGATGGCTGCAGGTAAGTTAACCAATGGCTTACTGCTATATACTACCTATATAAAACTATATTAGTGTCCTTAAAAAACTATAATAATGGAAGCTTGAAATACAGAACAAGAGCTTGGAATCTCACAAGTACTGCCTATTTTTCGGAGGAGGAAGCAGGCTTTGTCCTGGAAAGGAACTTGGCATAGTTCAGATTTCTGTATTTCTTCACTATTTTCTCACTAAGTACAGGTTGGACTTTTCACCTTATTTAATTTTTTTTTTTTAATGTTTGCTGTGAAAATTGGATTTTTTAAGGACTTGCGTTTTTATATTAAAAAGTCAACCTATTAATTATGATGACCTATGTCCTTATAAATTGGTATTCATAATTGAGAAAATTACATAAACAAGGGACTTGGTTTTATTTTATCCTTTAGACCCTCGTGTAAGATGGTGCTCTTTTTGAAGTCATTAACCTTCTATGATCGAGCTTGTTGACCTTTGATCCCATGTGGCTTGTTGACCTTTGATCCCATGTGAATGTTAAACTGTTTAAGAACTTGGACTTCTATTTTAAAAGGTTCACCTAATAAGTGGGGTGACTCAATATTCTTATAAGATAGATCGAGCTTGTTTTAGCTTGTTTTTTGCTTTTGTTTTTGTTTTTCGTGAAGCAATGTTATCCAAGTAATTTATAAGCAAATTCCACTATACTTGCAATATTTTATGGAATTCCTTGTTTTATGACTGCAGATGGGAGGAAGTAGGAGAACATGAGATTCTGAAGTTTCCAAGAGTTGAAGCGCCAAGGGGTTTGCATATAAAAGTATTTAAGTACTAAAATTCTTTCAAGTTCCAAATGCATATGATAGAACTAGACTAGCATGCAGCTAAAAGTATAGAAATAACCCCCATTCTCTGATGACCATTTCAATGTTATAGAAGTGCTCAGTTGTTTGGTTGGGGGATTCGTACCCCGATTCGAATCATTGTTCATGGTTCGCTACAGTGTTTTCTCTCAAAAAAATACACGTAAATCAAAAATAATTCTAATCTCATGATTTTAATCCATGAACTAAACGTTAAATTCCTTGGATAGTTGTAAATATTGTTGTGTTGAGAACTTCTTGCAATTTAAAGGGATGCCTTTAACAAAGCTTATGCCCACTATTTATGGAAGGAGCCAAGGAGCCCAACCCATCAAATTTAGGCTGTGCCTTCAAATAACAATGATTGCAACCCAGGTCTATGCCATTGAAATTTTTTGATGTCATTCTAATTATTTTTTTCTCTCTCCCACAATCGGTCTCACGTCCCTCTCTTTCTCTCATTCTTTCTTGTCTCTTTCCCAATCTCTCTAGCTATCCATGCCTTTCTCTGACTCTCTCTCCAAATTTCTCCCCCTCTCTCTCTCCCTCTAAATATTTTGAGACTGAAATCACGATGATCGAACGGCTGAATTGACAGGACAATGCTATGACAACAACAGAAACGAAGGTCCTCGGCTCTTTGCCAACCTGCGATGGTTTTGGCTGCTATGAGCCCTGATCAACTCGTCGTCAGCCTTTGAAGCATTTGGTGCCGGCGGTGCACACCACCACCCACCGGAAAGTGAAATCCAACGATGACTTGATGGGATTCTGGCGATACTTTAGCAGCGTTGATTTGACAAGATTCAGTCAAGGAAACTGGTTTGATTCTCTTTGTCTTATCACTCTAAGTCTGTAGAGACCGAAAATATCATGTAAGAAGTTTTACGTGTTTCAGAACTTCAACTAGCAGCCGCGGCCTCTTCCGGCTGAACTGACAGCCGCGGCATCATTATGAACTCAGCTAGTCGAGAGCTTTAAGATAATCTAGGAGATGTTAAAAATGGACGCCGGAATCTCGTCAGAGGTTGTTAGCCGTGCATGGAGAAGAGAAAAGAGAGAGAGAACTCGGAAAAAAATTGTTGAGAATAAATATTCGGACTACGAAAAGTAACCTTAAGGATATGAAAAATAACTAGTAAAATACGAAAGATAACTTATAAATTATGAAAAAATAACATGCATGTTAGGAAAAGATAACCTTCAGGTTATTAGTGACATAAGATAAATTTAAAAACAATGACATAAATAAAGTAGTGTTACCTCTACAATGATTTTTCTAAAAATTTCCCTTTATGTTACCTACACGGGTTTAGATTTTTACCTGTTATTCTTGATTAATGTCTTTTTGAATAATATAATTATTTGACTAAAAAAATATATTATTTAAGAGTAAGTGGTAAAAATCTAAAGAGATTTTTACAATTACCCCTCAAAATGGATCACTAAACCATTATTAACCCCTAAACATTAGCCCTTTTATTTCTACCCCTTTAAACTAAGCCCAATCAAAGGCCCAATATATAGATTACTAAAATACCCTTAAAGGTATTTACAAGATGTTGGCTGTCTCTGATCGCCGACCAATTGCGGAGCTCTGGTGGCCGGCAGCAGAACTTCAGTGGCCGTCCGACGTGTCTCCAGCGGCTGACGGTGAAAACTCTGGAGCTTATTATTGAAGTCCTTATTATTGAGTACATTTACATGTTTCTAATGTATTACAAGTTATATTTCATAATGATATTATCATTATGTTAATGAAAATACATTTTCATTTGTACATTATGGTGTTTTTTTGGTATTATATTCATTTTGATAATGAAGATTAATTTATCACGTCTCTAATTTTCCATATTTTAAGAACTTGCTAGATGATTACTATTTCTTTGCCAATTGTTATATTCATTATTGTTTGTAATGATATCGTCATTATAATAATGAAAAATCTTTCTTTATGAGTTCGTGCCTCATATATTATTGTCGTTTTAGATTTCTTGCAAACTTTTATCATCAATTTGTTTCATAATAACGTATCTGTTAAAATAATAAAAATACTTATTCTTGATATATTTGTGTTTCTTATGTTTGATAAGTTCTATTTCATAATGATATTATCATTATCTTAATGAAAATGCATATTCATTTGTATAGGGTGGAGGGGTTGTGGAAGGACGTCTTTTATGGAGCTGGTGATTTTAGTTTTCTTTTTCTTTTTTTAATCAAAAAGTGTGTTTTGTGCTTAAATGGAACACATTTTTTCAATATTTTTTTAAAAGAAAATTATGTGATGCTTTTATTATTATTTTTAAAGAAACTTTACCTTTATTTAGTTTGGCATCTTTCATTAAATGTCCAGGTTTCATTTGACTTTCGCATTCAAAATCAAATTATGATTTTATTTTGAAGACTTTCCTATTTTAATGTTTTATTATTTTTTTATTATATAAGGATATAAGTGTCTTTATATATATGCTAGTAGATAGTTTTATAGATAAATAAATAGGTAGACATTTTTAGATTTAAGGTGCTTAAAGTACACGTTTCTGTAGATAGCCCTCCACCTTACGCTCTATTCTACAAGCAAACTATTGGTCTATTTTTGATAAACCAGTGGTTTAAAGAAAGGAAAAAACAGGAAGTCGTTGGTCCATTCCGGAGTAAACAGATGATTTAAAGGAAGAAAAAAGAAAGGGTGATTTACACATATAGCAGAATTTTGATATTAAAGTCCTTCAAATTTTTTTTTTTTTTTGATATCCAATATTAAATTTAGCAAAAATTTTAAAATATACAAGATTAACAAAATTTTATATTATTTTTATGTCATTAAAATAATGACTTATCATAATATAGTACAAAATATGATATCATTATGATAATTATTATGTCACTTTTGCCATATATATATATATTATATTCTAAAAATTTTGCTAAGTTTCAATTCAAGATATGGAATTTTGCCATGTAGTGTAATTACTTCAAATAAAATTTTCCACATTGACATAAAAAGTAAACCACTAGTCTACTCTTAAGTAAATTAGTAGTGGTATCTTCAAGAGAAAAGCAATTGTATATGGTCCTATGAAGAATCTGTTATAGCAGTCATATTTTTCTAATTGGCCTTATAAATAATGGCGCCAACTTTTACATGCCTTTATACTCACTACCAAACGTAGCTCATTACACTACCGAACCCAAATGGCATTAATGGTGCCTATGTCTTAAATATATGAAACAGGAGAGCTAGACCACAACTGGCCAAACAATGAAGATTCTTTTTAAGAGCTAAGTAGTACGTACTCTTAGGATAGGGAGAGCTTTATAAATAGAGAAAAGTAAAGTTTCCATTTAGTCAGCAAAAAGAAGGGAGAAGTATATGGTAGAGTATAAAAATACTCCATGTGTATAGCTATATTCTAAACTGTTAAATTTTGTATTAGGGATTGTTTGGTTGGGGGATTCGTACCCCGATTCAAATCATGATTCATAATTCATTATAGTATTTTTTCTCACAAAAAATACACGTAAATCAAAAATAATTATAATCTTATGATTCTAATAGATGAACTAAACGTCTCCTTAGATTTTATCAACTTTACATATATTTTTGTTCCTTATTTATGATTTTGACAAGATATTAACCTTTTAAAACACGCACTCGGTAGGTATAACAACGTGCTTTAAAAAACCGACTACAAAAATAGTAAAATCCAAAAAATTCCGTTCACGCATACTCATTCCGTGTTTTTTTTTTTTTTTCTTATTTTTATTATCAGTTATTTAAAAAACTGATGTTAAAAATAACAACTTCCCGCCTTTTAAAATCGTTTTTGTAGCAGTCCACGTGAACTTCTAAACACTACCGTACAAATATTATAAAATAAAAAAAAAGAAAGGGCAGCAAAAACACCATGTGCATGGGAAGATGGCGGGCTACAACAACTCGAGCAGATTCATAGCTGTGAAGAGTTTTGGGAACGTGAGAGAGCTACGTGCAAACAATGTGTGAATCTCTCAACTCCATTTTTGGCTGTCAAACCACGTTTTTTTCCCAATTAACTTGTAAGTATTAGAAGAAAGATTCTTTTCCCCATTCAAGGTTCATCCACTGTTTTAAATTATTCCCTTTTTACGCTTCTCTGTTAGACAACTGTCTCAACTTATTTAGTATATATAATATCATTAATCAAATGGCATAATTAACAGTTATTTCATGCCAATGATCTACAATATATATATATATATATATTATGCCAATGAGATCAATAATGGTAAATTTTAAAAAGAAGAAGAAAACCAATGGTGACTAGTGTCTAAGAACAATATTTTTTCTTTTGGGAATTGACAAAGTGTACTATTGTTTCCATTATTTTGTTTTTTGGTCTGAATTATCACTCTCTCCCGTCTGTAAATTATGTCACATTTGTCCAATGCCTCCCAGTAACGCCATAACGTGATTACAAAAATCTACTATACATATTTGGTTAATATGGGAAAATGTCAAAATGTACTGCCAAAACGCCAACCATTCTCTGGTTGTGATATGGAAATTTTTGTCCCCTGGAGTGTGTGGCTGCAAAGTGACAGTATTATAATTCCCACACTGTTTTTTCCAGGCCCAAAAAAAAAATAAAAACCCCCAAAAAAGAGCCAAAGAAATTAATGCTATATTTGGTAGAAAGGAAAGAAAATAAGATAGAAAGAAAATATGTAAGTGATGTAAAATAGCAATGATGGAAATGAAATTGATTTTCTTTTATGTTGTTTGGTATGAGAAGATGGAAAGAAAATGAGCTTACCTTCACTTGTTTGGTATTGGAAGTTAAATTAAGAGGAAAGAAAAAATCTTACTCGTAAATTACTTTTATACCCTTAAATTTTTTGCTTGGATGTTGATGGAGAAAAGGGTAGTTTAGTAACTTTGCTCACTTTAATGAGTTGTCCTCATTTTTCATCCCGTTTTCTGTCCACTTGTGGAAAGGAAAAAAATAGTGGGGCCTATATGTATTATTTTCCACTATATTTTCTCTTTCTTTCTCTTTTCTTTCCTACCAAACAATCTACATTTTCATTTTTCCTCCCAAAAAAATGGTGGGACCCATATGTATTATTTTCTAATTTTCATTTTCCTACCAAACATACTCTAAGTATTAAGCATGCAAAAACAAGTCATTTTCTTTAAAGAGAAGGAAAACAACAGTCAAATTATAATTTTAAATTCAAGAAAAAAAAAAATTCTATTTGATGTTTAATGTCTTACGTAGATGTCTTTACATTTTGTCACTTACAAAAATTATACTAGAAACAAAATAACAAAACTTACCCCTTTTTTAGGGGAAGATACAAGGAACCCTGTAGTAAATGGATTTTCCTTGTATTCTTGATATGATAACAGAATTGTCATCTCTTAAAAAAGAAAAAAAAAAAAGAATTATCACTTTTATTTGGAAAGTTGTAATATTTGCAAATAAATATAAGGTCTGTTTAGTTCGTTGATTCGAATTGAGATGTGACATTATGTAAGAACTTTTTACTATAACAAAAAAAATTAAATGTGACTGTTTTTAAGAGGTTTTTACTACAATAAAATTTAAATTTTAAATTTAAATTGGTAAAATGAATATAGTCATAGTATCTCTTAACAATATATATTAATAATAAAAAAAAGAGAGCTCGCATACCACTTCAATCAGCCTATAAAAAGGGTAGAAAAATAGGATGTTTAGTATTAATTATTAAAACAATCTACTCAACATTTAACTGCATTACTTAATTGCCCAATCGTAGTTCCTTAATTGTATGCTTGATAAAGAGCACAGCTATTCTAGTTATCAATTCCCATATTTGTCTTTCTAAAAAAAATAAATAAAAAAACTCCATATTTGTAAAAGTAACTTCGACCTTTTCTAAAGTATAATCTTACTGGAAATGAAATGAAGGAATTACCACTCCACACTCACAGACTCAAAATTTTCATTTTATTTTATTTTAATAAACATAAAAAGAGGTTTTACTCATTGAAATTTTGATTTTGATAAATTATTTAATAAAAATAGTAATGTGGTATATAGTGCTCATACTGCTCTAATATCTCGATGAGAGGCAAGATGGTGGTAAATAACTAGTAGATTGTGAAAAGAAAGATAATTCGGAATTTATCTCTTAATCTAATTCAAACTAATAATTACAAATAATTTAAATTTTAAAAGAAAAAATAATTACTAATCTGGGTCCGTTTATTTATCGATTCGAGTTTTATTAAAGTAAGAAACTCTTAAAAACAGTCACATCTAATTTTTTTTTTACAGTAAAAAATTTTTATATAAAATCACATTTTGACTTAAATTAAAAACTTAAATCACGGCTCATAATATCTAAATATTATAAATAAACTACAAGATAAATACTAATTTAATATTAAGTCAAATGATTATAAGATAAATACAATTTAAATTTAAATACAACTTTTTAAATTTAAATAGGTCAATTATCGTCCGTCACACTTTTGTTATAAACGAAGACAAACGCCCGCTTTCCAATTCCAAATTTCCCCTTCTCTCTCTTCCTCTGCTTCGCTTCTCAGGAATGGCGGAAGCTTCAGTCAAGCCGACTCCGGTCCTGAAAGACGAGCTGGACATCGTGATCCCGACGATCCGAAGCCTTGATTTCCTCGAGATGTGGCGGCCGTTTTTCCAGCCCTACCATCTCATCATCGTCCAGGACGGCGATCCCTCGAAGACGATCAAGGTCCCCGACGGCTTCGACTACGAGCTCTACAACCGAAACGACATCAACCGGATTCTCGGCCCCAAGGCCTCCTGCATTTCCTTCAAGGACTCCGCTTGTCGCTGCTTCGGCTACATGGTCTCCAAGAAGAAGTACATCTTCACCATTGACGACGATTGCTTCGTAAGTCCAACCCAAATGGTCCTTTGATCAAATTAACTTCTAGTTTTGTTCTTAAAGTTGCGATTTTTACGATTACTTGGAATGATTTCTAGATCTTTATGAGTGATCTTTGCTGTTATTGAGAATTTTTGCAATAATTTGAATGTGAAGGTTGCGAAAAACCCATCTGGGAAAGAGATCAATGCGCTTGAGCAGCATATAAAGAATCTGCTGAGCCCATCAACGCCGTTGTTTTTCAATACTCTTTATGATCCGTATAGAGACGGTGCAGATTTTGTCCGTGGATATCCTTTCAGTCTCCGGGAGGGTGTCCATACCGCAGTTTCTCATGGCCTCTGGCTCAACATTCCTGACTATGACGCCCCTACTCAACTCGTCAAGCCTTTGGAGAGGAACTCCAGGTACATACATACGTACATATATACATATATATGTATCTTTTTGTGTATATGCTTGTTTTAGCTTCATTACTGGTTGGCAAAGTTAATTTTGTTCAAGTTTTATTTTTGGGTTTCTCTTTTCTGTTTCAGGTATGTTGATGCAGTTCTCACAATCCCCAAAGGAACCCTGTTCCCCATGTGTGGGATGAATCTTGCATTCGATAGGGAACTTATTGGACCAGCAATGTACTTTGGTCTCATGGGTGATGGTCAGCCAATTGGACGTTACGATGATATGTGGGCTGGCTGGTGCGTGAAGGTAACTGACGTTTCTTTTTTTTACTGAATTGATTTGGGAATTCTAAACATACCCGACCAGTAGTGCTCCGTTTTGGACCATTAGAGTTGTACCAGTTTTGTTACTTTCAGATTTTCAGGTAACTCTGGTTTGTGTTAGTTTCGCGTTTTTTTTTTTTTTTTTTTTCATTTTGATCGGAGTTTGACTAGATGTAACTCGCAGAAACATAAACCGCCGGTAGCATAATCCTACCATAGAAAGCTCCTCGCTCCTTCTATGCAACTTCTTTCTTTTTTATTTAAATAACACTACTTTGGATCTATGGTCATTTAGAATTGTATGCCGAATCATAAAATTCTAAGACAATAGATGATTAATTCTTTGTTAGCTGTTGAAACCAGCGTGGTGGTGGTGGATACTTTACCAGACTTTTTTTTTTTTTTTTTTTTTCCAAGTACGGTAGGCATATTTGTATTTTGACTTACTGAATAAACTCTTATCGCTTCAATGGTTATTCTTGGGAATATGCTTTATGCCCTCAAATTTGTCTACAATCTTCATTTAGCTTATAATTAATATGGCTGATGAGTTGTCAGATCAGATCTACCGCACTACTTTAACTCCCGTGAATGTTGTCTATTACAAAACTTCATTCTGGGGCATCACGATCAGAGAGACTCAAATAAGATATTAATTGCTAAAATACTGGTGGACTGGAATATAGTTAATAGTACATCTAGGTTTCTTACTTTTAAATCTCAGGACACATATTCTTTTGTATTTTGGCATTTCTCTTAGTGTTTCTGTCCTCTTTATAGGTGATATGTGACCATTTGGGATATGGAGTCAAGACTGGTCTACCCTACATATGGCACAGCAAAGCCAGCAATCCCTTCGTGAACCTTAAGAAGGAGTACAATGGCATCTTCTGGCAAGAAGAGGCAATTCCGTTCTTTCAATCTGTTATGCTTCCGAAGGAGTGCACTACCGTACAACAATGCTACATTGAGCTCTCCAAGCAAGTCAAGGAGAAGCTTGGCAAGGTTGATCCCTACTTCAATAAGCTAGCAGAAGCCATGGTGACCTGGATTGAGGCTTGGGATGAGCTTAACTCTGCTGAGGGAAGCACAGGAAAGTTACCGGCTAAAGGCGCTGCGATGTGAATGTCTCATTGACGATATGATTCCTTTATAAAGCACTAGTTGGCAGTTGCTTTTTTTTTTTTCCCTAACTTATCCTGTTATTGTTATTGGCAGTGTTATCATCATTATTTACTTTAATTTCAATACAATTTTCCCGTTTGGTGGACCTATAGAGCTTTTCGTTGTTCTTTAAAAGAACGCCGTACTCTGAGATATCACTATGAAATAACTATCAATCTCGTATATTTTGCTACTCTATTGTAACTTTTTTGTAGTAGGGCAATATTATACCACATGTTTTTGAATAGGATTTAATCAAAGTTGAGCATAAAAGTATGCAAAACTGGTAGAATTGACAGATTTGTGAGTGTAAAAAAAAATCTCATTATTTATAATTTCTGGTCTTTCAACAATAGCTACAAAAATATTTGCTCTTTTTTTTTTTTTTTGTTGTTGTTGTTGTTGTTGTTGTTGTTGTTGCTAGAATACATAAATATTTGCTTGCTTGTAAATTACTTGGAGAACCTTGCCATTTTCTCTAGCTTACCAAAGCATAGAAGCTAAATTCCAATTTCCAGGCCCCCTTTTATTTGCAAACGGATTGGAACCAAAATTTAATGTAAATGTTCCCATGACGCTACATATACATTGCCTAACGTGTAGAAAACTTTGTGAATTCAAATCACTCCAATGTTATTGATTGTTTATCCAAAGCACACTTTGGATGGAGATTAAATTTACATTGCTTGCAGAAGAAAGTCCATCTTGTTCCGAACTCCATACAGGCACTGCAAGTATAAAGTTGACGATCCTTCATTAGTAGAAGCTCATGTTCGGCATGGAGCTCATGCTTCAATTTCTGAGGCCATGACCCTTTTGCCATTTTATCAACCTCTTTCTTCATATACTTGAAACGCTCCTCAGTAAATGGGTAAGCCTCAGCCCCATGCATGATTATGGGGTGGTGAAAGCTGGTAATGTTCGTGACTACTTGACCGGAGGTGTCAATCGCTATGATTGTAGGACACCTAACAAGTTGGAAAATTCGTTGGATGCGCTTCTTCCTTGCATCTCTGTACGGCAGGGCTAACCAAGGCATGCGAGAGAAGCATTCATCAAACGCCCATTCATCTTCAATATTTGCTGCAATGAAGATGACTTCCAATGCCTTGTCTTTGTTTGCTTTGATGTCAAGATATGTCCTGATAAGCGTTTTCGTGAACTTCGGAGTCTCCAACTGTTCATATTGGTTAATAAAGAGCAGAATGTTCTTTCCAACAAGTTCCGATACCAATACCTAATCAAAGAAAGGAAACAAGTTTTACTAAGGTGAAAAAAAAAAATCACATATATTTGGAATTAGGTAAAGAATGAAGGGGAAATATTTAGTACCTTACAGCCATTTTTTCTGATAACAAAATCTTTATCTCCGTAAACTAACAGCGACTCCAATGTATGCGGGACTTCTTCCTTCGCTTTGACAAGCTCATCAACTTTCTCTTGAGTAAAAGGGTCGGCGTCAATCCCATATTCTTCAATGAGTGCAACAACATTATTCTTGTTTAAAGTCTTTCCATCTGGACCTATTATGACTAGCTGAGGGGTATGCTGGTCAGATCGAAAATCAAAGTAATGCCATAGACTTACGGCCATGTTGTCTTTGAACGGCAACGTCAACCATGGCATGATTTCAAGTCCTTGTTTGAACTCTTCAATTTGTTGATCACACGATAAAAAGACGACCTCAAATTTCTCACCTTTCTCCTTGAGTTTATTGTAGACATAAACAAGTAGGAAAGTAAATTCAGGGCATGGACTATAACGACCATCATTACTCTTGAGATGATTATCACCAAAATAGAGGCAAACTGTTTTCCCAACAAGTTCACACTCAGAGACAGGGAGCTGCAGTAAATACATATACACAATCAAAGATCAGTACAATTTTGGTAGAACTAAAAAGAAAAATTAAAAAAAAAAAAACAAATTATAGCTACCGCAACAAAAAGTTTGACCTGATAATTGCCATGGTTTGAAAGTAAAAAATCCCGGGATTTAGAGATCAGAAGAGAAGTTATGGATTGATTTCTCTTAGAAGCCTCAACTTGGTCTTTCAGGAAATTGAATCTTTCTTGCGTAAATGGATAGGCATCCTCTCCAAACCACTCTGTCATATGGTTTGCCGTCTCTTGAGTTAAAATCTCTCCATTGGAGTGGATAATAATAAGACCACAATCCCGCATACGAAACCACTTCCTCAACCGCTGCTTTATGTCGTTTGTCTCCGGGAATGGGATTGCAAGCCATGGCATTTTTGCGAAATAGTCATTGAATTCCTCTTCATGTATAGCATTATAACACACAAAAACCACTTCGAAATCGCCTTTCGATACCGCTACTTTCGAAACAAAAGATCCATAAGGATCCATAAATTTTGGTGTGTTTAAGTATATTCCCACGATCTTCCCGATCAAGCTACTGATTAACCTGCCAAAATATTATATAATGAATAGTTTTCGAGTGTTCCATGCAGAGGAGAAACGGAAACGATGTTATTATTATTATTATTATTATTATTATTATTATTATTATTATTATTATTGTTATTATGAATAAATAGAAACAAGCTGGTTTAAAAGCACTGAGAGCAAATATGTAATACCTTCTCGCCATTGTTGCGGATGAGAAAGTCTCTCTGGTCGGAGGAGAAGAGCACCGACAAGTCGGGCGTGATGATGTCATTTACATGATTGCATTTAGTCATTGTTTTGGTGTTTTGCCTACTGATGCGGTGAACTGCTGGAGTTTCCTTGATACTATATATCCTCGTACTCTACGATTGTTTTTTTCTTTTTCTGAAAGCACTCTCTTCTCTCACGCTTTTTGTGTGTGTGTTGTTTTTTCTTTTTTGGATTGCCTCTTTTATGGTGTATGTATATCTATATATACAGTGTTTACAACCCTATTCCTTTTCCTCTTCGTATTCAACTTTGTTAGTTAGGACGTGTTCTTTTGTCTACAAAATTTAAAAAAAGACAATTAATTTTAATTTTATTTAAATTCACGTTCTTTTAAGTTTTAATTTTATTTAATTTTACTTAACTTTATTCAAATTCTAACTTCAACTCAAGTTATAACTCAAATTCAACTTAAAAACTACACTCAAATTACACTCTAAAAGAATAACCTCTTAATCTCCCAAAAAAAGAGAGATCACTTTAAAATAGGAAAATTGAATATATATATATATATATATATATTAAAGGAGAAACTTCAGGCGTGATATTAACGCAGATTTTTTTTTTTTATTTAATTTTTCCTTATACCTTTGTTATTTTGTTACATCTTACGCTTAACATTTACTTTTTATAATTAACAGCCAAAAAAAAAAAAATCAACCACCTTTCACTTTTTTATGAAATGACTGAAATACCTAACTTATTTTTGCCATTGATTTAAGAGTTCGTTTAGTTTATAGATTAAAATTATTTTTGATTTATGTGTATTTTTTTTAAAAAAAATACTGTAATAAATCATGAACCATGATTCAAATTAGAAAACGAATCCTCTAACCAAACAAGTTCTAAATATCATTTAAGATCCAAACAATCACACCAGTCACAGCGTTCATTTTGAAAACGTCTCTAATCGGGCTCAATATTTAAGCAAAATACTATGATATTTTGAGTAGTCTTTTAAGGTTCAGTGATGACTGATGAAATTGCCCAAAACCTAGAGGAGGTAAACTGTGTTTTCTTCTCCGGAATGTATAACTATTACCTTTTTTTGATTTGATCTCTGATTGGATGCTTTAGATTGTCGTTTACGACTTTCTGCAGAATTCTGGAACCATTTTTGCAGGAAGTGATGATCTATGCTGTAGAAATGCTATGAGTTAATATTCTAGTACAACCAGTTTTGGGCGCTAATTGTTGTGTGTGTAAGATTCGTAGTATTATTTTCCTTTGATATATATATATATATATGTATGTGTATATATATATATATACATATATATATATTTATATTTACTCTTTTTTCCATTGGAGGATTGCGAAAATTCTCAAATCTAACGGAGTTTTGAGAAAATTGCTAGTAACTGAATTCGGCTATGAGAATGGAAGATTTAGGTGTAAGATAGCTGGGTTTGCTTTGGAAGCATCGACTGGGATCAGAAGTCTTTATTATAGGGCTATAGATATCTAGTTCTAAGAAATAGAGGAAATGTTCGGCCTTGTTTATTTGATGACTCAAATCAGTATTTTTTTATCGTAAAAATTCAAATTTAATTTTTTACTATAATGTTTTTCTCTCACATAATTGACTTGAGTTGTGCAAATAAACATATCATTGTGTTCCAGTTTCCAAAGGGTTTTATCTTTTTAAAAGGGATTCAAATTTACAAAGTGCTTGTTTGTTAATTTACATAGTTGTCATGGAGGCACCTTGATCCTGTTTATAACATTTGCTGATATAGTCAGCTTGCAAATAATTAATTGATTATGTAAAATATAAAAAAATTAATCGACAATAATCGTGGAAGCTTATAAGTTAGTAGGATGTCATTTCAAGGCATGGCTCATTCTGCCTGGAGGATTAGGCTGCAATATGTTGCATATTTAACAACCTATGTCACTTTGCAAATGCAATTGATGTGAATTTTGATATTTTGCAAGGTAAGGACCTCATAATGGAAGTACATATAAGATGGAAATTCATGAATGTCCTATTGGACCTCTATTTATGGTTGCTAGCCCCTAGCCAGCTCTTATTGCTTTTGGTTTAATGATAATAAGTTCCTATTATGACACGATTCATGGAATTGAATATTCATTTCCACAGATTTTTACTGCCGATTGACATTCATCTTCTGGGCAAAGTCCAGATATTGCATAGGGGAAATTCCAAAAGAAATATTGTCCCTGTGTGAAGATTTGGTATGGACAGAGATTTTCGTGCGAAATAGATTGTGTGGAGGTAATTTCTATGCAACTTGACTTGTTATGAAAGCTGAATGCACCGGCTACAGATTCTTGAAGGGTTGTTGTTGTTGTTGTTGTTCGTCACAATGCTTCACCTTTTGGAACTTGTGAGTGATCTATAGACTATTCTAAACGTTTTTCTTGGCTTTGCTTATTGAACTTTTATAATTTGGATTCCTGGCTTTGCCCAATCAATTGGTATGCAGGACGCTTTTTTAAGACCTCATAACGGGGGCTATTTAACCAATTGCTGTGGTTAACTTTACACAAGATATTTTTAACGTTTTTATTAGGGAAAGCAGAATATTTGCATTTTGTCTCCCCTGATTTCTGATCAGTTGCTCAAATATGTACAAATCGTGCTCATTCAACATCTACGTCCTTAATTTTTAAAAATAATTTTTTCATTGTATTTGTAGTCTTTCAGTTTTAAAAATTCCTTTGTTCAGAGGCTTCTTCGAGAAATTGTAGCAAATATTAGTGGAACCTTAGAACAAAATCTATCATCCTCAGCTTCTGCAAAGAGGATGCTAAAGCATAGTAGAACAAAATCTATCATCCTCAGCTTCTGCAAAGAGGATGCTAAAGCATAGTAGAACAAAATCTATCATCCACTCAGATGCAAATAAGCATCTTGATTTACTGCCCTTGGACAGATCACAGATTACAGGAAATAGAACTAGGAGAAGCAAAATCATGAATACAAAGTCGTCCAACAATGCTGACCTCAAAAGATCAAGGTCTCAAGCACTGGCTGATGTTCTGAAGCTTCAAACACAATTGAAGAGAACCAAAGAATCAATGGTACTGGGAGCCTTGCCTTCTTTTAAAGCACAGTGTGATGATTGTTGTTAGGTATTTTTAATAGTTGACAATTTATTGATAATATTATAAAAATTCAAAAAACAGGTTCAAGAAGATTTCGTATTACAGAAGAAGATTTAGAGAGATAAGAATAAGGTCTTGATCAAAGGAAGATAATGCATTGGTTATTTGAATTTAAATGGGATTCTAGAAAGAGATAAGGATCAAAAAGATTATGTGGAGAATTTGAACTGATAATTATCGGGATTTAAGAAGGCTATAAACATGGAAGAGAAGGAGATATGATTTTGATATTTACAGCTTATCCAACTCGTGGGAATTAAAGTTGCATTAATTCGGATTTGTTGAATTTGCTATACAATCCGAATTCAAAATTGAAAACGTGTTTGAGTGAAAGTCTGCAAGTAAACTTTGATATATATATATATATATATATATATATTTGTGTATGGTTGTGTTTCATGGGCATTAACGTGAAGCTGGCTAAGAGGAGATTATATGTTGTATGTTGAAATCCGTTTTGAAATTCAAAGTAAACATATTAATGCTGAAAAGGTGAAGCGAGGAGATAACATGAAGATTTTGTGCAGATTCTTTAAGGAGATATTGTGAGTTGATTCAGTAGAGAGAATTGTGCAGAAAAAATGAGAGAAGCTTATCTGAGTAAATTTAAAGATAATTCTCGAGAGGTCTTAGAAACTTTATTTAAAGGTATTGTTTCAGCTCACTAAGGAGATGGGGTTTAATAGAATATTTTCAGAAAAGAGTCTGTGAGTTTTTGTGAGTTATTGAGATCGTCCTTCGGGAGAGGGATTTGTTACTTTCGGGAGGAAGCTCTGTCGGTCGAAGGGAGTTCGTCAGGTGAATAGAAGTCGTGTGGTGCACGCTAAATAATCACTTTGGAGATTCATCACAGCGGCGTCATTGTCTAAGAGGGAGTCCTTGAGTGAATAAGTCTATCCGGTATCTGTAATTTCTGAAACATAGTGAATTGTTTACTGTCTGGGCGTGGCCCCGCAGATGCAGGTGTGCGCATTGAACTGCGATATCATATTGTGTGTTCCTTTACTTTATGCACTTTATTCTGCTCAAACAACTGTACGTAATTAACCCGGATCTTAATTAATTAAGTCGTGTTTCAGACAGTGTTCCAACATCATCTGGAATACCAGACGTAACATCAGATCTAACAAGTGGTATCAAAGCGGTTCACTGACCATAAGTTCGGTGAGATCTTGGAGAGTTGATTTGTTATGTTTAGAAGGGATTTTCTAAATGAAGGAGGTTAAGTTGCATGTCCCCCTCTACTCGATGGTTTGAATTATTCATACTGAAAAACCCGGATGAAGGCTTTCATCAAGGCTCAAGATGAGAAGGCATGACGTGCTGTTTTGAATGGCTGGAAACATCCAATAACTAAAGATGCATAAGGAAAAGAGATTCTAAAACCTGAAGGCTCCTGGAATAGTGATGAAGACAAGTTGGCCATCTACAACTCTCGTGCTCTTAATTCAATATTCGATGGAGTTGACATCAACCAGTTCAAGATGATATCTACATGTGAATCGGCAAAAGAAGCATGAGAGATTTTGGAGATTGCTCATGAGGGAACCGCCGCCGTTAGCCAATCCAAATTGAATATTCTCACAACCAGGTTTGAAAATATTTGAATGCATGAAACTGAAATTATTTCTGAATTTAATTCACGGTTGTGTGATATAGCTAATGAATCCTTTGCTCTTGGTGAAAAACTTCCCGAGGTAAAACTTGTCAGCAAGACGTTGAGATCGTTACCACAGAGATTTGCCTACAAAGTCACCGCTATTAAAGAGGCGAAAAACACTGAGACTATGAGACTTGATGGGA